CTGATTTATAGAAGAACATCATTCTGAGCGAGGTTAGCCAGGCTCAGAAGACCAAAAATCATATGTTCTCCCTTATATGCAAACTTTAGATCTAGGGTAAATGCAGCAATGTGGTTGGATTTGGATCACATGACAAGGGGAGAGCACATACAGGAGATATGGGAATAGGTGGAAAACCCAAAACATGAAAGCATTTGATGTCCCCTCTCCAGAGGAACTAATATAGAAACCTTAAAGAGACAGAGGTTAACATGAGCAGGGGATCAGGAACCAGTGTAAAGCTCAGTTAGAGATGAATCAACTTGGGTTGTAACACATTTGTACATAAAAGCAATGCTAGGAATCTTTCTGTATAGCTATCCTTAACTAACAAAAATGCTTTGTCTTCCTTACTATGCTTATGTCTTCTCTTCAACAAAATTAGAGATAAGGACAGAACAAGTTCTGCCTAGAAGTGAGAGGAAAAGTGGGGGAGAGGGTGGAAGAAGGGGGCAAGGGGGAGAAATGACCCAAATAATGTACGTGCATGTGAATAAATGAATAATAAAAAATTTTTAATTGATTTATAGGAGTTAAAATTTTCTGATACATGTCTGTGCTGGATTTATGCATTATGAGTTTATTTCCCCAGGTGGTGGCTTATCTTTTTATGCTATAAGTATCTGGATAGTGTTTTTTGAGTACATTTTATTGGGTTGCTTTATTTATTATTTATCCCTTTATTTTGCAGTAATGGAATTTGAATCCAGGTCCTTGAGCTTGCTAGGTGTTATGCCATGTGCAAAACTTATCTCCAAATGGGGGAAGACCTAATAATCATAGCTAAAACTATTACATTTTTCATAGAAATCATAGGCATAATTTTTGTGAGCTTAATTCAAAGCAACAGTTTGTTAGATGTGATGCTAAAAGTACATGCATCAAAATAAAGTGGACATTACCATTAAAACCTTTTGTGTGTCAAAGAGTAAAAATGAAAAAAGAAACTATAGAATTGGTTCTCCATTGAGAAAGTAGATTTGCCAGGGAGTAAAAGAGGAGGAGGGTCTTTTCATAGGTACACAGTTTGGTTTTGTGGTGATCGTTGCACAACTCTGAATATACTAAAGACAATTGAATTGTGCATTTTAAATGGTTGAATTATACAGTATGTGAGTTTTATCTCAATATAACTATTATTTAAAATAACAGGGATGGAGCTGGACCCCAATAGCTCATGCTTGTAACCTCAACTACTCTGGAGACAGAAATCAAGAGAATCATGGTTCAAAGCCACCCCTGGGCATAGTTTACAAGGCCCTATCTCAGAAATATCCAGCTGAAAAAAGGGTTGGTGAAGTGGCTCAAGTGGTAGAGCTCCTGCCAAGCAAGTGTGAGGTCCTGAGTTTGAACCCCAGAACCACAAAAAAAAATAGGGATAGGAGTATTCTTATACTCCCATGATTAGTCATGAATTTATAATTTTTGAAGCTTTGAGAAGTACATGGAAGTTCATTATATTGTTTTGTCTATTTTTCCCTCTGTTATAAATTCTCCTGAGTAAAAAAGTAAAGGGAAAAAAATCCCTAGCACTCAAACTACAAGTCATCATATGTGGATTTCCTCTGCCTGTCAAGGCAACGAGCAGCATGTACTTTTGCTCCGTGTCCTCAATTGTCCCTGTGTAATCTGTTTCTTCAGACCTTCTGCAAACTCTTCTTCAATGTATAGCTTCATTTCAAAGCAGCTCTTTTAATTTCTGTTTTATTATTTTTCCAAAAGTGAGCTATAACTGCTGGAAATGTTTTCCTTCCATAGCCCTGGTCAGAGATGACTGGGCAGGAGAATCTGTTTCAGAACTCTCCAGAGGCTGCCATAGAAACTGTAATAAATGCCTTCAGTAAACACTAAGTAAAAATGCATTGGGAGCATTGGAAGAAAACGCCAGTTGGCCTGTCTCTGTGTAATGTGTATTGCAGCAGTGTGTCTTCTACAGTAAAAGTATAGTGTGTGGCAGGACTAGGAGGTGAGCTCCTAGTGTGGAAGAAGATATGTAGGCTGAAAACATTGTGTTCTTGGGATGAGAACAAAAGTTTCTTCTCTCCTTTCAGTGACTTAATTCAGAAACATACAGAGCCATGGCAGCAACTATCCTTTGGGGAAGAGGAGAAAGTGTGACCAAAATATAGTCCTTACAAATAAGATTTCTAAAATCTTCTGGAAAAATGTGAAACAAAGGACCAATCTTCAAATATTTAAAGAGGAGCACAGTTAAAATATGGAGAAGTTTTAGGAGACTGGGAATAGAGTCCACATCTGTTTATGGGAGAATCAGGAAGATGAGCTAAAATATATTCGACATGGTAAATTTGAGATTGGATACGATTTTATAGATGTAAAGGATGGCATGAACAAATACACAGGAGTTGAAAAGTGCAGTGTTTTAAGAAATAGCAAGTAATCTTGAGCTGTACATGAAATTGAAAACTCATATCATTATTTGAATGTAGATAATAGTCCTTAAAAGGTAAGTTAAATTTTGTAATGCAGTCATCATTCAAACTAATGCATGCTTTTGATGGAGAAAGTGATATCAATCCAGATGGCACACAGATCAATTTGGTTTGTTGCATTAGAGTTGGATAACAAAGAAGAGGCTAAGAACCTATTTTGATATTCCAACTAGAAAATAACATTATTGTGATATAGTGACTGAGATAAAAAAGAAGGAACATATATGGGAAGGCAGGCAAGACTTAGTGCCAGACTGGCTGTAATCAGTGTCACCTGCAAGTTTAGCATCCAAACAACTAGGAGGAAAGATAGTCAAGAGGGACTGTGAAACTCTGAAGGAAATTGTTTGTGATGCTGATTTTGATTGAGTTTTGTGGCACCAAATATTTGGGTTTGCTTTTCAAAGTGTGTTACTCATGAGAGAAGTCAGCATTTGAGATGTGGAGTTTGGGCTTTGGTAGTGTCTAAATGCATAGACATTGTGGCAAAAAACTTTAATACAGTTTTCACTATTTATGACTTTTATTAGCAATTTGTTTTTTGTGAACTTAAGAATGGCTAACAGCTGTGAGATGGAAAACACAAACATTAACCATGGGAAGTTAATTACAGAATCATTTCCAGTATTTAAATTTTTTCTTCTGTTTTTTTCTTGTTAGAAAAAAATTAACTGAGCTACTTTAAGCTCCACTATTCAGATCATAGCCTAATCTGTTTAGATGATTTTATTCTTAGCATTACATTAATCTTTTAAAATTTTATTAGCCTATAATAGTTGTGCAGGGGATACATTGTGATATTTACATATGTGCTTACAACGTATCTTAGTTAGACTTACCCCATCCATGTTTACCCTCTTCTGCCTTCTCCCCCTTCTTAGAACAATTTCAGCAGATTTCATTCTTCTGTTTTCATATATGGACACAAAATACATCCACCATATTCACCACCATTCTCCTTTTCCTTATGCTACCCACCTCCCACTGTTACCTACCTACTGGAAAAGACCTATTTTTCCCTCCTACCCTTCATTTCTTTTAATGTTTATTGATAGTCCATAGAGGTACTTCAGGCCTCTACATAGCATGCTTTAATGAAATTAACTACCCCCTGCTACTTATTCATTCTCTAGCACCATGCTCCCCTAATGATCAATAGCTTGCAACCCATCTATATATGAATATATGTACTGTACATTGACCTTATTTTAAGAACTGGGTTTTTCCAGTGTCATTGAATATTTGACTTTTTACGTATGTTCTTATCAGGGCCATGATACCACAATTTATTTATTTTTGTTACATTGTAGAATAAATTACTTTATTAAAACAACTGGAACTTAGAATGTCTCATTTTTAGAGTAATAATTGTCATTGTAGTATTTTCCTTTTTTTGTTTGGCAGTACTGAAGTTTGAACTTAGGGCCTCACATTTGCTAGACAGGCACTCTAATACTTGAGCCACTCCAACAGTTCTTTTTTGTGTTGGGTATTTTCGAGATAGGGTCTCATGATCTATTTCTCATGGCTTTGAACCATGATCCTCCTGTTCTCCGCCTCCCAAGTAGCTAGGATTACAGGCATGAGCCACCAGCACCTGGCTCATAATCTTTAATACGTAATTGTTCAGTAAAAAACTCATGTTATAAACATTTTATGGGTTACAGAGCATTTCACATGTTTTTATTATTCAATCCCCATAGCAACTTCTTCGATACCTATTATCACCTATCCTCTACAGATGAGGAAGGAGGCTACAAGAGATGGTGATTTGCCTCAAGCTGTAAATGGAATTGGATTTCCAACTCAAAGCCCAGCATCCCCCTTCTGTAGTATCACTACTAGCGATTAGCCTTTTTTTTTCACACTATGATCTTCCCTATGCAGTTTTCACAAAAGTAGCTGTTCTGTTCTAGGTTTCCTAATTTATGTCAACTTAGAAGTTAAGTAAATTTCCTATAAAGCAATTGCTCTCAAACAGCTGAAATTTTGCCACATTTCCACCCCTCCCCCAGGAATATTTGGCACACCTGGAGAAATTGTTGTTTGTCACAATAGTGGCAAGTGGGAGACACAATATTACTGGCATCTAGTGTACTGAGACCAGGGAACCACTAAACATTCCACAATGTACAGGATAGTCCCCACCCCAAAGAATGATCTGGCCAAAATAACAATAGCGCCAAAGTTGCATAATGCTGGTGTGAAGAATGAGATCTTATTTAGGCACTTAGTCAAACCCTCCACTCCCTTTTAAACCTCTGCAATATTGTCCCCCTACCACCACTAAAAAATTTTTAAATGTAGTTTTTGAGGTAGTTTAAAACGAAGATGAATCTCTTTCATAGCACAGGAACTATATGGTATATTTTAGTTTTGTTATTAAAAATAAACGTTAATGATACTCTAAAAATGTTATATATCATTAGTTTTCTGAAAAATAGTATATGTTCCTGGATGGAAGAAGAAAAATTAAACCAAAGCACAAATATTTTAAAGCAATGTTTTAATGATGTTTTCCTTATTTTCTAATTTTTCTTAATTTATGTTGAATACCAATTAGAATACATAAAGTCCTCTTTTGTACAATTTCAGTTTTTGTCTGTTTTACGTGATGCTCTGCCTATTTAGTTAGGCCAGGTTTGTTTCTTAGAGCTATTCACTCTATGTGTATTTGAGGACAAAGAAATTTTACAGTTGATAGGTGTCCAGATTCTTCCAAGCAAGGTTTTCCAAAGAGATATCTTAAAAATATTCCTGAATGAGGTGGCGGCGTTATATAACATAACACCTGACAGGCTACTAAAGGCGCACAATAACTAATCATAAAATGGGAGTTACAGGTTTTATATAAACACTCACTAGGCCTTTTCACAGAAGTTTTATAATCAGGTAATAATTTAAAAAAATCATGTGTGATAGCCCAAAACCACCTCTTGTGAGTAGTATCTATTCAGTTGGTAATGAATACTTACTGAAAGTTTTAAGAGTTACCTTTAAACATAAAAGACAGGCTCTTACACATGAGGGGTTTAATATGATTCTATCAAACCATACTTCAACATGATTAAAAATATTACAGTACTGTCCAAGTTATTGAAGAAAGAATAAGAATAGTGTAATGTATTTTTCATATTGCTGTCCTTTTTGGCTTTGTTCTAACAGCAAATGAAAGAGCACACATGTTGCTAAGTCAAGCATCCCATTTACAGTACACTTCTGCTTAAAATGCACTTGATAACAAAGGGCTAAATACTGAATGTCTTATGTTTTGCTACTGAGAAAGGAATGTTCAAGCAAGATATTTATGCAAAAACATTTGTATGCAAAAAGAAATTGCTGTAGATGCCTGTTTCTGTTAATCCTTATATATCAATAGTTGGCAAAATTCTGTTGAAATTTTTTGTCATTTACCATGAGGGACAGATTTTTGGTTATGTGTATGCTACCATTATTAGTAGAGTTCAAGTATTCCAAATGTAAGAATTTTTGAATTTTATATGCAGTGGACATTATTAATCATTACTTTCTGAAGTTCCCAAGCTGAACACTCATTCTACTCAGAACACACCGAAATGTTGCAGGTTGTATTTCCCAGTACTTCATTGGGTTGTGGAATAAACTTATTGCACTGTATAACGATTTCTTCATCTTTGGCATTGTTGGACAGAAGTCATTCACTCCCACTTTCGTAATTGAGTTAGAATGAAGGAAGATTATCTGTTATGGTAAGGGGGAAAAGAGTGGATTAAAAATACCAACTAAATGTAAAATGAAGATAATTTGTTAAATAGCTTTTTTTTTTCCTTCAGTACTGAGGATTGAATCCAGGTCTTCATGCATGCTAAGCAAGTGTTCTACCACTGACCTAAATCCCTACCACTTTTGATATTTTTAAATTTTGAGACAGGGTCTCACTAAGTTGCCTAGGCTAACCTCGGACCTGGAATCCTCCTGCTTCAGCCTCCTGAGTAACTAGGATTGCACGCATAGACATCGTGCCCAGCTATAATCAGCATTTGTTTATGACTTTATTCATCTGCTTATTTTACATTGGTTTAAATGTATTTTCACGTAAAATAGATGCACTTATTTATGCATGTTGAATAACTATTGTAATAGCTCATGCTCACATATTATACAAGAAAGTATTTGGGTGGGATTGTAGCACAGAACTGATGCCAAGGCCCAGAGCATACTGCCTGGTCAGCTTGGCCACTTTGTTTCTCCCCTCTTCCCCCTTGCTATGTAGTTACTTCTATGCCATAGTTACATTAATTTATTTTGTAGTTGAATCTTTCTTTTGCACCAATGGACAAATCGCAGTTTGTAGGCTGTATATACATCAATAAAAGTTAAACTGTTACCCAAAAAGAATAGTTAATATAGGAACTTTCCTTCATTCCCATTAACAGCTATCCTATTTCTTCTTTGGGCTTTCCTTGCAACTGCGAGATTTCTAGGAAGGAAAAGCAGTCTACTGATCTGACTACATTTTGGCATATGCGCAAGCAGGAGCCTTTTTTCTGGTGAAGCTAGAATATTGGGTTTGACTCTCATTGCTTCTAGATTCTGCTTTTACTTTTACTCAGATTGATCTGTGTCTGATCATGAAAGCTGTAGGCATTGCTAAAATTTGTATGTTTGGCCTGCAACTCACCCTTTTCCTATACCAGTCCTGGAGTTTTGTGACAGATACTTTATATGGTTCCTCTATGTTTTCCTGCTGCTCAGTATTATATCAGTGTATCATTTGCCACAGCATTGAGCCAACTGAGAGTGAAAACGTGCTGGGCATGGGTATGTTTCCTTGTAGATGTTCACTGAATTGTACACTTGTTACTTGTATTGCTTTAATTCTGCTCATCAAAACATGCTAACAAGAATGCAGGTGGATATGACAGCGATGAGAAGCTGGGGTCCAAATTGTGGAGCAGAGTAGCAGGCATGCATCCAGGGAGGACTGGCTTGAGATAGGGCAGACCTAACCAAGCTTACAACTGACAGACGTGCACATGCAGTATCCAAAAATGTCAGAGCACAAGGTGTTACTGCAAGATCCACACCTGCACACAGCACATCTTGTTGTGGCTTTGGGTCCCCAAGAGGTACAGTGAACAAAACTTGTTTAAAGATAGATCAGAAAGAAGCCAGAAGTGATGGCACATGCCTGTAATCCCAGCACTCAGGAGGCTGAGGCAGGAGGATTATGAGCCTGGGCTACATAGGCAATTTCAGGGCAGTCTGGGCTACATAGTGAGATGAGACCCTGTCTGAAAAAAACAAAATCAAAAGAAGATCAAAAAGAAATCTACAAGAAGGAGAGTGTGTAATGCCCAGTTTTGTTCTAAGTGTATTTTTGGTTCTTAGAAGGTAAGGATTTTGCATAGCAAGGAAAACCCATGAGAAAAATAAGTTAATGTGAAATAGCATTATGTAGGGCCATAGAGGAGAATCAGGGAAATTGTGAATGTCCTAGAATTATGTGTATAATAATGTCTTCATTTTCTGTGACCCCTGCACACAGGTAGAGTTGTAAGATGAGAAAGGTTTGTAATAATGAAAAACAACAAATGACCAAAAGTGAGCTTTTGTGTGTGAGTGTGGGGTTCTGAAAACCTAACTCTGGGGTTAAGCATCCTAGACAAACACTCTACCACTGAGCTCCATCTCCAACTCAGTATGAACTTTCATGCTACAAACACTGACTCAGCTAATTATATATTCTAGTTTGAATGTTTAAGAAAGCATACCTAGATATAACCTAGCAGCACACTGATAGTAAAAATACTTGGATCTTAATCCTCTTGCTGTGGTTATGAAATGTTAACAGCACAAAAAGACATGTGGATCTATTTGGTATCCTGGCCAGCCTTGCCTTGGAAACCTGAGCTTAAACTTTGCAAGCAACTTTGCCACAAGGCCTCGGCAGTTTAAGTAGGTGAACATGTGAACAGAAATGGGTCCTGCCCTGAGCTTCTTGTATTCCATCTTTGTGGAAACCATTCTTCTGATACATTTCTGCTAAAACACTTCACACAACCTGGAGACTCAGTATGTTTTAATTACACTTCCTGCATTTTTGGTCTTTTTTTTTTTTTTTTTTGAGACACTAATGTGATTTATAAAAACTAAAGAAAAGTGCTATTCTCTACCAAACACAAGTAGAACATTTTACCTGGAGGTATTTCAACTCCTGTAATCCCGAAGGGATTCTCTTTAGTTTATTGTTTTCCAAATGTATTTCCCTCACACGTGGTATGTTAGCAAAACTTCCATTTTCAATCTCCGTGATTCTGTTGTTTCCAAGGCCCAGCCTAAAAGAGATATAAAATGTATCACCTCTTGGACAGATGGTTAGATTTGATAGTTAGCTGAGAATACCACAATACTTCTTAGAATATAAGACTGTGCTATTCTTTAAGTATGTTCACATAAATGTGTTTCATGGCTTTAACAACCTATTTCAAGTCTGTAACAACCATCTCTTCCTGATTGAGAAATTACCTGTCCTAAACCTGACAAAAGGAAAAATTGCAAAATGGTTGTTTTCCTCTTTCCACTGGCTTTGCCCCTTGACATTCTCCAGTAGTCCTATAGTCATAAACTTAACCAGGGTCCTGATACATGTTCTCTGATTAATGTCTTCATATAGGCTACTGCTTCTAAATTTAGATCTTGGGAACTTTTACCTTTGTAGTTCCTTGTATCGTTTAAAATCCTCAAGTTCCACAGTTGAAATCTTATTATAATCTAAATGGAGTTCCAATAAAGTTGATGGTAGGCCTAATAAGAAAACAAAGGTATGTGTTAGGTTAAGGCCAAGTCCTACTATTTAATTGTCACGTTTTGGATTGTGATTTAGGCAATTTATAAGGTACCTACTTAAATCATTTTATTATGCATTATTATTTCAAACATACATGAAAGTAGAAACTGTTCTTACGAGCCACCATACTGTTGTCCAGCTTTAACCACTATCTCTACTCCATTTATTTATTGACTTATTTACCTATTTGTTTAGCCACATTTTTGTTGGAATATTTAAACTCAAATCCAATACACAATATAATTTCACCCATGAATAGTTTAACTGATGAGATCATTTATTCTTATGTAACTACCTTATCAATATCATATATGACAAAATTGGTATCTAACATCATCTAGCCTCTAGTATTCATCTCCCCCAGTTGTCTCAAAGATATCATTTTATAGTTGGTCTGTTCAAATCAGGATCCAAGTAAAGATTACAGAATACATTTGACCTATATCTTTTAAAATGTCTCTCCTTTGCCAAGGGTGGTGGTAACATGCCTGTAATCCCAGCATTCGGGAGCCTGAGGCAGGAGGGTTGCAAGTTTGAGGCCAGTCTGTGCTACAAAGTAAGACTTGTCTCAAAAAGAAAGAAACCAAGAAAGAGAGGGAGAAAAAGAATGACAAGGAAAAAGAAACAACACAAAAACCTCAAGGGTAGTTCAGAGGTAGAGCACTTGCCTAGCATGTGCAAGACCCTGGGTTTGATCCCCAACACTGCAAAGAAAAAAAAAAGACAAAAGAAAAAACTTGTCTTTTTCTATAACATAGAAGGCTAATGTCCCGTGTTTGAGACATGAGTTTTGTGGATTTGGCTTACGCCTTCTAGGTGATATTTATCAGGATCCTAGTCTCTGATTTCTTATGACCTGGCCTTTCATCTGATGGGTTTGGCATACATTCATGGTTGCCACCATTCTTTCAATAGGAATTAGAAAATGGTATCTTTTTATTGTTTGTTTGATCCAGGGTCTCGCTATGATACCCAGGCTGGCTATGAACTCCTGGGTTCAATCCATCTTCCTGCCTTAGCTTCTTAAGTAACTGGGACTACAAGTGTACACTGCCACAGCCAGCTATGGTGATTTTCTAATTTTGTCATTCTTTCTAAATTTATTAGCTACAATTCTCTAATTTTCCCTCATCAAGCATTTAACTACTTTGTAATATAGTTTTTAGAGAAAAGGCAGCAGAAAAGCTTGAGTCTTTCAAATAATGAATTGATATACTGCCCAGAGGTGACCAGTGTTGCTTTTTTAACATCATCATAAACAATGCAAATGTTTACCCTATTTGAGATAGTTAATCCTTTGCATCATTTGTTCTTTCAGTTAATAGTAGCTTTTTTGCTTTTTGATTTTGTTTTTGTTTTTTCAGTAAATTTGGAAGTGCATCTGCAATGCGCTAACACAGGGGAGGCACCAGTGAACGTTCATTCTCTGTCTTCTCAAACTGGTATATCCTGACTTTAGCCCACCTGAGATGAATTGAAGCTGGAATGAAAAAAACTGACCAAAAGATTTAGGCAAGCCCCATTTTGTCCTATATACAATGTTTTTCAACCACAGGTTCTAGGTAGCTAGCTGGGAAAAGCTTTCGTATCATATTGTTGTTGTACTGGGGGTACATTGTGACATTTATAAAAGTTTTAACATTACATCCTAGTTGAATTCACCCCCCTCCATCTTTCTCCTGTATCCCCTCCCCCAGTCCTGAAATGGAGTTCTCATTTTTGTGGGGAAAGCTTTCTTGTTTTAAACTTTTGCTGAAGCATTTCCTTCCTATATTAGTGGTAAAGGCTAATGCATGTCATTGAAATATCTTTTTTAAAGGAACCCTCTTACACTGTTGGTGGGAATGTAAACTAGTACAACCACTCTGGAAAAAAATTTGGAGGCTACTTAAAAAGCTAGACATTGATCTACCATTTGATCCAGCAATACCACTCTTGGGGATATACCCAAAAGACTGTGACACAGGTTACTCCAGAGGCACCTGCACACCCATGTTTATTGCGGCACTATTCACAGTAGCCAAGTGATGGAAACAGCCAAGATGCCCCACCACTGACGAATGGATTAAGAAAATGTGGTATCTATACACAATGGAATTTTATGCAGCCATGAAGAAGAACGAAATGTTATCATTTGCAGGTAAATGGATGGCATTGGAGAACATCATTCTGAGTGAGGTTAGCCTGGCCCAAAAGACCAAAAATCGTATGTTCTCCCTCATATGTGGACATTAGATCAAGGGCAAACACAACAATGGGAATGGACTTTGAGCACATGATAAAAGCAAGAGCACACAAGTAAGGGGTGAGGATAGGTAAGACACCTAAAAAACTAGCTAGCATTTGTTGCCCTCAATGCAGAGAAACTACAGCAGATACCTTAAAAGCAACTGAGGCCAATAGGAAAAGGGGACCAGGAACTAGAGAAAAGGTTAGATCAAAAAGAATTAACCTAGAAGGTAACACCCACGCACAGGAAATCAATGTGAGTCAATGCCCTGTATAGCTATCCTTATCTCAACCAGCAAAAACCCTTGTTCCTTCCTATTATGGCTTATACTCTTTCTACAACAAAATTAGAAATAAGGGCAAAGTAGTTTCTGCTGGGTATTGGCGGGGGGAGAGGGAGGGGGCAGAGTGGGTGGTAAGGGAGGGGGTGGGGGCAGGAGGGAGAAATGACCCATGCCTTGTATGCACATATGAATAATAAAATTTAAAAAAAAAAGAAATATCTTTTTTAATATCAATAGTCTTGATATAGCTGAATTTATTTTGATTCCAAAAATTCACTTTGAATCCTAAAAGTAAATAAATTAGAGAGCAGGAAAATAACTCTTGTAAATTGAGAAGTTGCAAATTTCTTGCTTTTGTTAATTGAGCTTCATTATATTTATGGAAAGATATCCCTCCAATATGTAAAACAGAGGTTCAGTCCCCAAACACTATATATACTCATTAAGTAGATTATGCATACATATAAAATTATTAGAAAAGTAAATGATATACTGGCCAGTCAATTCTAGAGTAGACTTTAGGAAATTGAAGAATAGGGAAATCTCGAAAAAGGATTTGAAGAGCTTAAGGGGACCGTGTGTCACCTAGGACATGAAGAAGGTAGGTAACCAGAAAAAGCACAGTACAGCTGTAAAACAGGTGTGAGCAGAATTGTGAATCTGGCAGAAGCAAAGTAAATGCCAACAAATATTAGCATGCTTTTGTACAGAAATATTTGTTTTCACTGCAAACAGGTACCCCCCTCAGTAAAATTTCCCAACAAGAATAGAAAAGAAGACATTTTTCACCACTCTCCTCATATTACCTCTTCCTGGTATGAATCCCCAAGAGGTCTGCCATTTCCTTCTACCACAATGTGCAGTACTAAGGAATGGGGACGTGGAGGCAGTCAGTGAATTATTACATTTCAGTGAATTATTTATTAAACAAACAAATTTGCTTCTGAATGTCAGAGAGATCTTAGAAGAGCAGTTACATAACTTGAACAATTCAATTCCAATTTAAATTTCTAAAGATATAATGTTCTTAGGCTCTGAAAAAAATCTTAAGAAGTTAAACTAAGATATGCTTTGAAATTTGAAAGGGAATTGTAATTAAGGTATTTTATAGTATAGGAAAGTCTGCTATGATTAGGTAAATGAAATCTAAGTGAAAGATCACTGTTTGATTAATAATAACAGCCTTGCTGTGGCTTAAATTCTGTTTGCTTTGTTAATCTCTGGATCAAGGAGTAGTAGAGCAAGGGTTCTGGTGAAATCATTGTCTTTGAGCACAAGTTCCAAGAAAGGCAATCAGTCCTATCTAGCAAGTCATCAGATAATGAGCTTGGGAGTAACAGTTAGAAAACTGTTGCCATCTAAGAAAGTTAAGTATTTTGAGATGCTTCCTCAGGTCTCATGCATCTGGAATAAACAGTGCACTACTCCCTCTGGTAGGGGTGTTGTCACTTATGTGCCAGACACTGTCCTCAAACCTTTTCATGTATGGGCACATTAATCTTTCTAATACTCTTGAGAAGACACTGGTATAAGAGCCCTTGTGGCAAGGTCATTCCTGACAAAGTCAGGGCTGCTCCTGTCTGGCCTCACAGGCTCTCCCTCAACTTCAGCACCACAGTTGGGGATGAGGGTATGGCCCCATGCAGCTTCCTCTTCTTTATTATGCTCTACAGAATTCTCTACCTATAATGCACTTCATAGAATGACAGGTGTAGATGAGTAAATGCCAGAAAAGAGAAGGAAAATTAGAAGTTCTTTGCTTCGTAGTGTTTATTCTTACTACTAGGGAAAAAACAATTATGGTTTAATACTGTCGAAAAATTCACTGCATATGGTTCTCTATTTGTTTGTGAAAAAAATACTAATTTATACTGGCACAAGGACTCCTAATTGTGTTGTTTTGACAATGTATATTGTAAACTTTGTAACGTTACATTTAATGGTCATTGAAACATGATAATTTTAAAATACTATATCCTACATAAGCACAAACCTTTAGGAATTGAGGTTAGTTTTGCTTCAGCAATTCTGATATGGAATGCCGTCACCCCTTCAAATGCCCCTGGCTCGATCCCATTATTCTCAAGAGGGTTTGCACTCATTTCTGTGGGGGAAAATGACATGATTTAGCACACATAGGTTGTATGTGAAGGAAACTCAACCATGCACTGAGACACATCCCAAGAATATTCTGAGAAGTGTGAGCTTCATTGTTCACACTAATTTTCCACTTAATATACCAGTTTTTATCTACTATCCTTTCTGTCAGCCTTAGATAAAATGCTGTTTTGTATTTTGTAAACTGGAATACATAAAAGATTCACTTCTTTGCTTTGAATTTTTAAATAAATAATACCACTCTTCTCCAACCATGAGCATGATAAAGGTTTTGTTGTTGAATATTGCACCAGGAAAAAAAATGATCTGATCGTTCACTTTTGTGTTTTCCATTTTATTTGCTTCCTAAACTTTTTTTTATTAAATCCTAAGTGAATTTGAAATTATGTGATTACAGAAATATAACTTTGATGAAATGCCAATAAGAAGCTATGTGGTAATGCCAGGTACCTGGTTAAGAGGGTAAATGAATGTGAATCTTACTTAGGAATTTTGAGTGGATACTGTGGGCAGATGGCATGGGTGTATGATGGGCATTAGAAATAAAAGAATGCAGTTTAAATTATACAACAAAAGGTTCCTTAGATCAATAATCTTAAAGCAGATAACCAAGCTTCATGTTTACTTTCCAAATAATATCAGAATTAATTTTTACATTATATTTGAGTAGTTTATGCAGTACATTCAAAATACTGCCATTATGTTAAATAAAAATAACATAGATTTTATTAAGGAGGTTCCAGTTTAGAAAACAGACCACAACTAGGTATTTCTAAGGAGATTCTTAGGAAAGAGAGAGACAATATCCCAAAATCTTTCGTTAAGTGCTGTAAATTTTGTTTCACATTTTAATTGATTTATAAATGGTTTATGTATGTAAGAATTATTAGATTCAAAAATTAAGTGTGGAAATTTCCTTAAAAGTTAATGAAAATAAAGTCTTCTGTATGTTCATGTTAATTACAATTTCAAGATGTCCCATTCATTTGGAAAACTTACCCAAAACATGTAAGGAATTCATTCCTTTGAATGTGTCCTTTTGTATTTTTTTAACTTTATTATCATGAATTCTGAGTTCTGCTAATGATTTGGGAAGATTAAGTGGTATTTCACTTAATTGATTGTGGGATAAATATAGCCTTCGCAACTTCTTTGTGGTTAGAAAGGTTTTTGGATGAATCTTTGTTAGCTTGTTGTTGTTCAGAATCAGAGCCTGGATAAAGCATAGAAAGTTGCATAACATTAGGAAGTGGGTTTGATTTACTGATATTCTACAATAATTAGTCATGGAAGTCGATATGATTTCTGCCATTTGTGAATTGGCCAACCATATAAAATGTTCCCATCCCAATTAAGCTTAAAAAATACTTAGTACTGAGTTGGAATAGTGCAGAGCTTTAGTGATTGATGTTATGCCTTTGGTTTAGGTACAAGCTTATCTTTTAAATCTTTGAGTAGGCCATATATTCACATGGTTAAGGCTTCAGCCTCTACCCAACTCTTCATGAAAGTGATCAACAATATCATATTTATTTTATCTTAAAATGTATTTGCTCTACAAAATTATTTAGTATACAACAAATATGTTTTTACATGATTTTATCTACTTAGAAAGGCTCATTTTTTTGATGTGTACTAATGTTTACCATTTCTTCCAGAGTAGAGGCTTATAAGGAAAACCCTACAAAGTGTCCCCAGCATTCTGGCATATTTTCAGGCCCTCAGTACCGAAAGATCCTGAGAAATGGCCCCACCCCTTCTCAGTCCTGCAGCTATTTCTCAGGGCCCCAGAGCAGCACTCTTCAAAGGGGCCTTAACCCTGGAGAGGGAAGGGCTTGTACCAGGAGGCAGCCAGATCCTTCATGATTGTTTAAGGCCTCATGTCTATCATGGGACAATGAAATTCTGGGATGTAAGGAATTTCAGAACCAACATTGTGGGAAAGTCATGTTGGTCACCCTGATAACTGTTTTCATCACAAAATGACAGCGTTTGATTCTTTCCTTATTGCCAGATTGTACAGAAAGAATATTTGATGACAAAAAAGGATGCTGGCAAGTTGCTTAGTATCATTAAGACCTTTTTATCCCTCTCTAATAATGGAGACTGTCCGATTCTCTCAAGGAACAGCTTGAGATACATTCCTTTTATAAACTTTGTCCACAACTCTGTTCTACAGTATCTTCCCTTTGTTTCTTGACTGATTTAACATGACTCACATTGTCATTGTTTTTCCATAGCAGAAATACACTTTGGCTGCCCAATAAACTCCCTTTACTTCAGTTCCTTTACACAGTTCACCCTCAGCCTTTTGTGTCTCTGTTTTGTCACCCTCCTTTGGAACATACCACTACTGTTAAAGGTTTCACTTGAGAATGGTTAACTCTAAGAGAAAAGGGGAAACTGCATCTTGTTGCCACTTAGCAAAATAGGCTCCTTTCTGATTGTATGATGCCAGCCATCATACAATTATACTATTAATTATATCTATTAATTATACTGAAAAATGAGGTGGGGCAAATCTAACAATTTGGTGGATAACAAAGATGGTTTTATGACCCTTCACTTGACCCCATGAGGTAAATTTAGCAGAAATTGCTTCTGGCCCTTGAGTAATATAGAAATGGACACAGTGAAGAATAGTGACTTGCCTGTGGTCAGCCTGCAAGTGAGGGTCAGATCTGCCTCACCTACAGTCAGTGTGTGCCTCAGTGAGATGCAGGTACAGTGCATAGGGCTTTTGCCAGGTTTTTTTGCATTCTTATTAATACATGCAGTTTCTGGGGCTGCATAAAAGGAATGGTGAGTAATAAAACTAGGGTAAAAGTTTTATTCAGCACTGACAAATGATTCACACAATGCCTGGCATGAAGGGCTTGGCAGACTGATTTCAGGTCAGCTGTACTCCCAGTGTTAGCTTTTACATGAGCAACTGGCTGTCACAGAACCCTAACTTCATCATTAACAGGCAGTGTGATTATGTATAAGGACAGAAGTGTAGTATGTAGAAGTCATGATGAATGTGTCTGTGATAGTGGCAAGAAGAGAGGGGGAGATCTGAGAATGGGTCTCACTTGCTCTCTAAAAAATATTTTCCTTTGTGTGTTAGTCCCAGCCTCAAACAAGCAGCTGAAACATAGCTAAGATTTGTAGAATGTCTATAACATTTGATTTCTCCTGTGAGATAGATACCATATAAGGAGACATAATTAAATAAATGTTTTATAATTATGCAATATCCCCACACTTCAAGTATAAAGCATGTACTTTTAAAAGTGCTTACAGCCTGGAACAGTGGTGGTGCCTGTAATCCAAGCTACTTGGGAGCTGAGGCAGGAGGATTTTGTGAGCCCAGGAGTTTGAGAACAGCCTGAGCAACATAACAAGACCCCATATCCAAAAAATAAAAAAGATTTACACTAGTATATTGGGTCAATCTCCTCATATTAGCCTGGCAGTAATACTACTTAGCATTTGGAAGAATCCTTACTATTGCTGAGCACCTTACCTGGATTTACCCATTTAATCTTATAACCACTCTCTGAGATCCATGCTATTATTATTCACTCTGAGAGCTGACAAAGATAAGGCTACCTTACCAGTGGTAGAGCAAGATCTGACCCATGTCCATCTGACACCAGCACATTCATCTTTAAACACAGTGCTATATACAAGGTGACTAAATGGACATTAAGGAGGCCTAAGAATGCTCCCAACACCTTTATTCTCACTTCCCAGTGAATAACAACAAGAATACATGTGGATTGAGTCTTTGGAATACTCCTAACATAATAAAATAACATAAATTAGAAAATTTTTATGGCTCTGGTATTAAATATGCCACTAGTTCTTATAGTTGTCTAAGCTGAATGTGGTTTGAAGATGTGGTGGAAGCATTCATAGGCTGTATTTCCAATTCCTCTCTTTTTGAATTCCACATACACATACACATACATATATATGTACCCTGAGATGTGTATTATTTTCAGTCTCTGATGGTAGAATCATGGCCTTGGTATTCTCCAAACATTTCTATGGTATGACGTTTATGGGTAGACGAAGTGTACAATGCATTGTGTTATTGCTGATTGTCTTAACATTTAAGTGAAGCCCATTATAAATGTATGTTCTTCCAGTTGCTTTTGAAATACATGTATACACACAAAAAACTGAATTTTATATGGAGCCTTACCAAATCTGATCTGTCTACATAATTTGAAAGGGAAAGGATCAGCCAAGGCCCATCTATCTGGGTTGGAGGGAAGCCAACCCAGACTCTAGCCACTAGTACAACACCTTGCCAGTCTGCCTTCATAGGAGAATTGACCATCCTGTAGTGCTTGTCCTTCATCCAGGGTGACAGGGAGGCAAGGTGACCTCGTATCTCCCAGGTATGGATCTGTACCAAGGGGTTGGTGCAGTTAATAGTATTCTCTACCTTCTCCTCCTAGTGCCATACCTTACCTAGCGATGACAGCCCGGAGTGTGGGGAAATGGGCTGGAAGAGGCAGTCCTGACTCACTGCCCCAGATAGTGCAGAACCAGAACTGGTCCTCTAACCTATGCCAGCCTCCACAAGGCAAGAGTGGTGTTGAGGGAAGGAAGTCATGCCCCCTAGCTGTGGGCAGTGCAAAATCAGGCTCTCTCTCCAAACTCAATTTCAGATTAAGTCAGTAGTTCTACTGGAAAGTTCAAAATGTTAAGCAATCTTAGGAAATTAGAATACAAATAAACATAATAAGGGAATAATTCTTTTTCATCTCTCAAAGTCCAGGAAAGATGCCATACATGTATATATTAGTCAGTTAGACATTTTCTATTTTCTAATGCTGCTGTTAGAAATTTGTCATGTCTTAGGTTAAAGGATTGGGTACAGTTTTCTTATACATATGCTGAAGATTAATGTAAATGTTTTCTTATTCATATATTCTTATTATATATTCATATAATTTCATTATAAGAAATTATAATTTACCTGACTAAATTATAAACTCATTTAAGGACCATTAAACTCTTAGCCAACAGTCTTCCACCTGGCTGTTATTCAATAAATGTCAGTTGAATTAAATTATTAGTTGAATTGAATCTGTAATTTTTAATTGGCTAGAATCTTGCTTAATACTGGGTTTTTATCATACTTCACCCACAGAAAATTAAGACTTTTTTTACACTAATATAATATAATGAATCATTTCAGCAGTGACAGAGATACTCATTTAAATATTTTTAAAATATGAGCATATTCTTACATAAAGTGAAGTGAGTCCTTTAAAATCATTTTCTTTGATTTCCTTAATTTTGTTGTTTTGAAGGTCAACCATGCGAGTGTCAAATGGAATATTGCTTGGTACAGAGGTCAAACCTGAGAAATAAACAAACATGTTATAGACACTAGACAAGATCACTCATGTGATATGTGTGTACATGCATATTCTAGAAAGTGGTGCTGAAGATGACATCACTAATATAGTAGAAGTAATATATTGAAAAATCCATGGTTATCATTATGTAATAGATGACTTAATATTTGTAACAGATGACAAAAGCATTGGGGTTTGAAAAAGCCTCAGGAGTTTTTTTAGGTAACTTCATTTTTTGGTGGTACTGGGGTTTGAACTCAGAGCCTCACACATGTTAGACAGGCACTCTATCACTTGACCCACTCCACCAGCCCCAACTCATTTATTTTTACAAGGTATCTGTCTTGGGCCTGGCCAGCTCCAAGGTAAAATAAATGGGAATAAGATGGGGCCCTTTGAAATGAGGAGCTGACAGGCAGCTGAAGCTTACATGATGCACTTTTGATTGAAGACTACTAGCTTTCTTTTCTCTTTTTCTTTTTCTTGGGTGGGACTGTGGTTTGAACTTAGGGGCTCCACACTCACAAAGCAGGTGGTCTACCACTTGAGCCACACTTCCAGTCCATTTTGAACTGGTTATTTTGGAGATGGGGTCTTGCAAACTTTTTGCCTTGGCTAGCTTCGAATTATGATCCTGCCAATCTCACCCTCCCAAGTAGCTAGGATTACAGGAGCGAACCACCAGTGCCCAGCTAGAACACTAGCTTTCTGTATAAATTTTCAGGCTTTATTATGAGAAATTTGAGTGTTTTGATCATTTTTGAAAAGACCAAAATGTAGAAAGTTGTGCTTAGAAAATTGATAGATCATTTTCATGTACATTATCAAAAATGTTATTACCCATTTGCTGTAAATAATTAACTCCTAATTAGTTGTAAATTCTTCAATTAACAAACTTCTTATTTATTCCTACATAACTTTATTATCATGTAAGTGGGAGGTATACCTTTATTTACATGATCCTGCCATGGACAAGGTGAAGTGTGTGTACTGGAATCTCAGATGGACTCAGGAAATATTCCTCATGGGCCATGAGCTCCTGAGTGAAAGGTGTGGGTATTTGTGAAGTTATTAGGGTACAGTAGAAAATATTGTAGATACCCCAGGTTTTAGAGATGCCAGGAATGTAGAATGTTTGCCAAGATAGGCCTCACCCAATAAGCACAACCATCCCATGAGAGATGTCATGTGGACTACAAATGACAAGCCATAGGTGTGGGGCTGCCCATGCCCTCCACAACCCACATCACACCACCATGTACCCTGGATGCCAAACATGGATTACAGGATTTAATATTTGCCTTCTGGGTTTTGGTCTTGCTTTGAACTGATCCTTCCTTGCTATTCCATTCCTCCCCTTTGGAATGAGAGTATGTACTCTGTGCCATTGTATCTTGGAAGTTTTTGATTTTATAGGGGTTCATAGCTAAAAGTTTGTTTTGACTCTCAGAGGAGACTTTGAATTTGAATTTTTGAACAACACTGGAACTGTTAAACTATGGGGACTCTTAGAGATGCACTAAATGCATTTTGCAGTATTAGATGGCCCTGAGCCTTTTGGGGGCCAAGGGTAGAATGTATGGTTAAAGGAGATGTGTATGTATGTCATGTTGACAAGGGATGGACTCATGATGGTTAATGTTGATTTGTCAACTTGATTGGATTGAGCAATGCCTAGATTAGTAAAGCACATCTGTGGGGGTGTCTGTAAGGCTGTTTGCAGAGAGGCTTAAGACCTGTCCTGAATGTAGGTGACACCATCCTGAAGACTGGGCTTGGATGAATAAAAGGCGAAAGCTACTAACACTGGCATTCACTGTTTCTGCTTCTCAGCTGCCATGAGGTGAGCTGTTGTGCTCCGCCACACCCTCCCACCATGATGAACTAAAACCTCTGAAACTTTCAGCCAAAGTAAATCTTTCCTCCTTTAAGCTGTTTTGCTCACTTTTGTCACAGTAACAAAAAACTTATCAGTAAGACAAGATACTCAGGTTGAAGGAGTAGCTCAAGTAGTAGAATACCTGCCTAGCAAGCATGAGGCCCTGAGTTCAAGCTCCAGTACCACAAAAAAAAGAGAGAGAGATACTCAGATGAGAATTACACATTTTAAAGCAATTCAGACATTTCTTTTCTAGGCAATTCTAAACCCAATTCAATCAAAACCATTAGAGCATTATCTTTAACATATCTAGCTGAAGATTTCACAAAGTCTGTGTGACCCATTTCATTGTTCTTCTTTTGTTGCCCTAGAATTTTACCAGCAAGTACAGTCTCAACCTGCTAACACCCAGGAATAAACTACAATGAAGAAAATAAAAGTGAAGTGCTTTGATTTAAACAGAAAGAAATGTTCTATATGTGAAACCACCCCCCTTGGTTTCTTCTGTTATTCTGAACTGTTTACTGGCTGTTTTTTGTTTGTTTTGGTTTTTTGTTGTTGTTTTTTTTGGTGCCAGAAATCAAACCCAGGGCTTCAAGAATGCACTGTACCACTGAGCTATATCCTCAGCCCCCTTCTTTTTCTTATAAGAATAGTGAGCTTACTGTCTTAGCTCTCAAGTAGTTGGGATTATAGGCACACATTACCATGCCCAGTTTTCATCTAAGCATATAAATGAAAAAATATAGTCAACAGGATGATTTTTGAAATTTCAATGACTTTTTCTGTTATGTTTGTCAACATAGCTTTATTCTTCAAAAAAAAAAGTTGATTTATGCTCTTACCTAGATCAGAACAGTGTACAACTCGTGAGTAGCACTGGCATCCAAACGGACATGTTGGAAACAGATCAAACGGGAAAAAGGGGTTTACTGGCTCTTTTGTGGGGAAAAGAGAGTTGTCGTCGTCGTTGTCGTCTGCATTTTCCATGTCCTTCAGCATCATATTCTTCAATGTCATGTGTGAGGGGCTAACGAAGGGTTTGGCAGAGCACACTACCAAGAGCAGTAGGAGCACATATTCCTTCATGCTGTCTCGTGTAGAAGTCTGATCTCAGACTAAACAGATGTTGGGTATTAAGTAAGAGTTTAAACAGAACCTCTGCATGCATACATCTCTCAGTGCTAGCAAGAGTATGATGAAAGGACATTTTTATCCATTGCCAGGTACTGGGAAAGTAAATTTATAAACCTTTTGACATGCAGCTCAGCAGCATGTTTTGGGAGCTTCAATAATTCTATTTTTTAGAGTCCAGTCTCAGAAAATAATTCTGAATTATACATACATGCTCATCACAGAATTATTTATAATAGGAAAAAAAATTAAAGACAATTCCAACAGTTAAAGGATAATAATAAGATAAAATAGGGTATATTTAGTCTGTGAAATATTTTGGACCTCACAAAATGTTTGCAACAATGTTTAAAAATATAGAATATAATTTTTCTAAAATGAAAAAGTATAGAAAACCAATGCCCAGTATACTTATAAACACAAAGAAGAAAAAACCCATCACAAATATAACCTGATTGATGATGATAAGCTCTGATGGTAGAACTATGGATGAATTAGTCTTATTTTTTCCTTTAATTTTTATAATGAGCAATAAATATTACTCTTATAGTTAGAAAATGAATAATTTTTTAAAACATTATCATACCTAACTCTCTGCTTCCAAAATTCTTCCATTGCCTAATATCTATGTCATTGTCAAAGGAACATTCTCAGTGTCCCTTAGACAATATTTAGGAGTTTCCTTACTTCTTTTCACCATCCCCAACTTCTCACTCTTTTCAATGGTCACTTTTTCCACAATATCATTGGGGTCTTTTTCCTTCTAATCTGTTCCATTGTCTAATACCTCATGTAAACTATCTGGTATCTGGACTGCTCTGTTTTACTCATTTCTCCCCTAAGTTCTAGCTGGTCCATTGTTTTTTGTGTGGACTGTGTTATTTCTAGTCTTTTCTTTTTAAAGGTTGCACAAAACTGGAAAGTACAAATAAGAACGTTCAAAGCATAAATTCATTGTCATCTTATGATTGATATTCCCACAGATGTGTTTGTATATCATAGTTTCTTGGCTTTCACTTGTAAAACTTGTACATTCTTAGAAATTTTCAAAAATTAGTAAATCATCCAAAATAGGGATGTCCTAGAGATGTCCATTGACAAGACTGAGTTCTGACAGAAGGGAATCTGCTCACTGTCACAGCAAAAGGCTCTACAGAATGTCCCTCAGCCTCAGGACCTAACAGCTTATATAAGAGAGAGTTCTAGTCAGTCAGTACTGGCCCAGCCTCAGGAAGACCACCTTCCCGATCCTTGGGTCATCCCAGCTGGTTACTATTCCCCAAAACTGAGAAACCAATTTTAATATCTCTCCACAGGAGAGAGATTCATTAACTTAACTAACACACATATATATGGTTTGCCTTTTTCTAATCATCAGGAGAGGGTTAGAAAATCCTGTCATTAGTTATTAACTAGATAATGATGAGATAATTTTATATGCTCCAAAAGTCAATATGGTGACATCAACATCTGCCCCTGAGTAACTGAACAGTACTGGCCAAATTAGTATGGTATCTTTGTGATGATCTATACTTGATTGTGCTAGGAAAGAGCTTACAGGACAAATCTGAGAATGGTAAAAGCTTTTTATATGTTAATAATCTCTGAATCCATTTTAAAAGTAGCCCTAGCTTCACATCTGTACATACTTTGTGAAGTGTCAACTCAGAACTTATTCTAAATTTTCTTCATGTTAAATAAGATGAAATGGGATTCCAAGAACTTGGCTGGTGACTTCCTCAAGGTCACCAATCAAATAGAAATGGAGCCACAGTTAGCTCTCCTGTGTCACAACTCCCTGTTCTGTGCCACCTGCTATTACTACAACCACATGCCAGAGGGGCTGTTTTCTTATTCAGAAGATAAGAAAACGTATGTTAGCTTCACAAGCACATACTGTCATCTCTTCTTATCCACAGATTGCCTTACACAAAGGGACACATACATAGCTTGGACATGGAATGAACGATTGTGTGGTCAGGTTTGTGTGGTGCAGAGTGAGGCTGTGATGCCAACAAGGCCCCAGTGCTTCTGTTGGACAGCTAGGGTGAGAATAACCTACTGTCCTGTTGCTGCTGTGGGCTTCCCTGTCAGTCATTCTGGAAATCCTGACTTGGGGTCCTGGTGAAGGTCACCTGGGCTTCATTTCCAATATCTCTTTTTTTCTATCTCCGCTTCTCGGCTGCCTAAACTAACTTTGACTCATTGTGTTTGACTTTCCATGTGATTGCTGGCTCCTTAGAGTTTAGTTGCCAACTTTGCCTCAATCTCCAAAAGTCAGCTCTTGGTCCTAAGCTTAACTGATACTTGTCCCTGAGTCTGTTTATTTTTTAGCATTCTTACATTGCAGCTCTGTCTTCCAAGGTACACAGCTCCTCTTGACCTTACCTGACTTTGGCAATGAAAAGCTTTCAATTGCAACAATATTACTTGAAGTTGTTGGAGTTGTTCAGGACATTTTTTTAAGTACCCGCTGTGCCCAAGGCATGATGTCAAGATCTGAATGGGTGAGGTAGAACACATCTCTTCCCCCTTCTTCTCTCCCCATGCTTCCTAGTCAAAAAACAACTACCACCCCAAATCATCCACTCTCAGATAAGTATGGGATTATTGTTAAAGTTAACGCATAAATGTTAGGTGCATTGGTAGAAAAAATAAAAGGCCTGAATTAGTAAAATCAGTGTCAACTGCATACACTGACTTGGGGGGGCCTTTAACACTAGATGTGAGTGTGCAGAGCTTTGAAAGTACTATTCTTCAGCAAGTGTGTCTGCTTCTCCTAACCTTCAGTTAATGCTTGAGACCAATAGCACTAAAGTCATCTGTAATAATACAAATGCATATGAAAAAGACTGAAATAGAATATACAATGCCTAGTAAAAGGGATAGACTGAGGCATTTTTTTCTTGTGCATAGATTTTTAATTATGTTGCATTAAAAAAATTTTTTTTGGTGGTATTGTGGTTTGAACACAGGGCCTCATGCTTGCTAGGCTAAAAGCCTCTTGTTTGGTATACAGGTGCTCTACCACTTGAGCCATTCCACTCATCCCCTAGAATATTTTTTAAATTATATTTTTGACTGAGTATGGTGGCTCACACATGTTATCCCAGTTACTCAGGAGGCAGAGTAGGATTGCAGTTTGAGGCCAGCCCAGGCAAAAGTTAATGAGACCCCCATGTCAGCCAACAAGCTGGGTCTCGTGGCACATGCCAGTGGTACCAGCTACATGGTAGGCATAAATAGAAGGATCATAGTCCAAGTTGGTCCAGGAAAAAACATGAGACTATTCAAAAAATAACTAACACAAAAAGGGCTAGGGGCTTGTCTCAAGTGTAGAGCACTTACCTGTGTAGCATGCTTAACAAGCATGAAGCCCTGAGTTCAAACCTCAGTACAGGGTGTGGTGGTGCACACCTATGATCCTAGCTGCTCTGAGGTATAGGTAGGAGGATTGTGGCCTCAGGCTGACCTCAGGCAAAAATGAGAGACTCTTCCTGAAAAAGAACTAAAGTAAAAAGGGCTGGAGGCATGGCTCAAGTAGTAGAGGACCAGCTTACCAAGCTTGAAGCCCTGAGTTCAGACCTCAGTTTTGCCAAAAAAAAAAAAAAAGATACTTTGGTTTTTTGAGACAGGATCTTACAAACATAGCCCAGGCTGACCTTTAACTTGCAATCCTCCTGCCTCAGCTTTCTGAGTGCTGGAATTACAGATGTGCCTCACCACACCTAGCATTAAAATATTTTAAATAGCAGTTTACTAACAAAATCTTTTTTGCTTTGGTCCTACATTTTTCTACCTCGTCTTTAGCATTAGACTCATCACAGATGCTACAATCAAAGGTTTCCTATATACACTGTTCTGACCTATCTCCCCCAAAGGCCAAACAAAAACACCTTCCTGCGAAATTATTTTGGAGATCACAATTTTTGAGGCTTAACTCCATTTTCTGGTCGATAGGAAATGAAGATTTTAATTAAGGGTTCTTTTTGCTTGCTTGTTTTGGTTTTGGTTGGTTGGTTTTAGTTTAAGTGTTTGCTTATAGAAATGTTGAGCTATATGGCCTTGAGTTTTTCAGTCTAAACCAAAAATATGTTTTGCACATAATATACTGAAACTATAGAATTAAGAAAACTATGGTACTTTTTAAAAACACGTATACCAAGAGGAATGTATTAGTGTTTCAAAGTGGGTACCAAGAATGCATCGTGGTTTTCCATGTGGCCTGGCGGCAGGGGCGAGGGCTGGCCTTGTTCCCTGTGCATGCCATATGCTGGTGTCTCAGATTCCTTTAGCCTACTTGTCTCAGTGAGCTCAGAAGAGGCTCCCCTAGTGCTGGGTGGAGGGTCAGGCTGAGGACCAAGTGTGAGAAGGAGAATTCAAAGCTGAGAAGATAAAGAAAAGGTACACAGGGCAGAGAAAAGGAAGCAGACCAAGGATGGACTTGCTTCTCTACCACATCCTGTGCTGACCAGCACACCATGGGTCAGTTAGACATCAGCCAGTGTTCCTTCCTTTCTTAGACTGAGAAGTCTCATGAGAGCCTCTCTGCCTGTATTCAAAACTGAGGTAAAATGAAAATGTGAAATTGAGACTTGCTAGCTTTAAGCTGTCATAGTGCAAGAGCATTGTAATCACTGATTGATGGAGACAGCCACCTCTGTGTGGCAGTTGGGCTCTTCCCTGGTGAAAGATGAAGGCTTGTGGTACAAGACCTGTCATCTTGTTTAGACTCCCTCCTGATTGTGAAGGTTCTGGAACATTCTACCACTCTTTCTGAATAGCTTCAGTGAAAGGACTCCTAGGGAACATAGCTACCTTCTGACAGCATTGACTACTATTACCCACCTGTGACCGGTACAAAAATCTTTATGTTGAGACCAAAATGCCTTCGGCAAATCTTTTTCTGTTTGCTAGTTCTATCTTCTAATAGTCATATAAAATATATCTAATCTTTCTGAGTTCTCTTGTCCTAGTTACTTGCAAAGAAAAGTTCAGTCAACCTTGACTCACTGAGTTTAACATTTGTAGTCTTCATCTGATGTTGGTGGGCCTCTGCCACAGGCTTGAGGAGCCCAAGTGTAAGCCCTAAGCCTCTCCCTGTTCCAGCTGTGCAAATGTTTGCCAATAGGTAAATATTGGACATGGGGGAACACCATATAGTAGTGCTTTCTTCTATTAATCACAAAGAATACAGGGAATAATATTTCTTATTTAAGATAGGATGTTTAAGTTTAAAATTTGAGTTTATTCAAATGGTTCAAACCCAATTTTATTAGTTTTGGCATCATGCAGACTGTGATATTTTTAAAACTTGAAAATATTTATATCTTGTGCTCAGGAAGACTCAATATTTCCCTGTTTTAGACCAGTTTTGCTGTGTTTTCTACTCATGGGAAGCTTTAGGTTCTGGTCTCAAGTTTCCACTCATCAGGAGGCTCTTGGGAATATTATTCCAGTGCTCTTGCTGTTACTAATAAATCATAACTGTTTAGAGCTAAGAGTTGCCTGTGAGATTCCCTCCTAGGGCTATCTTCACACAGGAAGAGGCTGAGGCTTTAGGCATCCAGACTCCCTGGAGACAACAGAGCTGAGACAACTTCCTCATTCCCCACTGGTGGTGCTTTTAACCATGTTCACAGGCTCTGGACTTTCATCTCATAGTTACTTCTAGACCCTAACACATATCCTGTGGAAAAGACTAGTCAAGGTTTGACCAGGTTGTCATCATCTTTTATAACAGGACTACAAATGTAGCTAAGAAGTCTATAAGCTTCCTTTTTACCCCTTAGCTGGTCCACTAACTTGGAATGGAAAATTTGTCTAAGTGAAATGGTATTTCCTCTCAGATACTATATTTGGTAAATAAATAACTATGCTTTTAAATCCCATGTTTAAAGGTCTGCTTGACAACTCTTCCTTAGGCTTAAGTATTCCTATCAGTTCATGAGTATCAGTCATAAGTTTCAGTTATTAATGTGACATAACATTCCCAGTATGCCTCACAGTGAGAGTCCAGACTACATGCAGATATAATCAAGGCACAGTCTTATAAACTAATAAGATAAAAGTCCAAGCGTCCATTTGCAAACTTACAGTACAATTTGTTCATGGACAGTGCTTCTTTTTAAAACATCACTTTCTTAAGTAGAAGTTTCTTTTACCTTAGGTATAAATATTCTGATTAAAGAACTAGCTGTTCATCCTTTTATGTCAGTTTTTCCTTCATCGGTTTTTTAAGCATGTCTAGCAATCTAGCTGCTAATTTGTTCATTTTTTTTTAAATCCCTTTCCCTTTATGTGTCTGACATTTCTTATAGTGCTTTGTGAAGTTAATCTATTTTGTTTTAAACCTCAGATCAGGTATCGGACATAATATTCCTTTTTCAGTGTAGTGGTTAGTTGTAACAGAAGACTACATATCCTCCATTCTTTCCACTGCTACACTATCTTGCTTAGTGCCAAAAACAAACTAAAAACATCAAGATACTTTTATGTGCATGTGGGCTTGTCTCTGTCTCACTCTGTCTGTCTCTCTCCACCCTCAACAAATCAGTGATTCTTGGTGGGGTTATAAAAACAAAAACACATTACTCTTAGAGAAATAGGTAATTATAAACCCCTCAGGTTCTTTATGACTCAGTCTTACAACATGTGGCTACTGTTTCTTGACTGCCAGACCTCTGAATAGAGTAACGTGAAAGAAAGCTGTGTCCCATTTAGATTACTAGCAAGTAGATTGTCAAATAACCTAAGATTGTAGATCTAAGATTTAGTAAAATATTTACATTAGAAAAGAACAAAGGAAATCTTTGAATGTGTTAAATGCTGACTATGGATTTAGTGAAAAAAAAGTCCTTAATCTTTCATATGGAATACAGAACTGCAAATGCTGATAAGCATTCTGTCTTGGCATTATATGGATTTCCATTTTAATTGTCCAGTACCATTTCATTATATAAGAATAAGAAAGATAATCTGTCAAGGAAAAATGTAGGCATTCAAATGTCTAAGTAGGAATGACATTTGAATAGTTCAGTTTTAAAAACACATTAAAAAATATCAGTTTTATCCTTTGCTAGAAATATTTACTGTTTTATTTAATGTATCTGTGTTATCCCCAAACTTTATTATCACTAATTATTAGAGCAATGTTATTTTCCTAAGAGAACATGTAAGTTATCTACTTACATAATTTTAAAGTCAGTCATATTAGCATTTATGGTAAAGCCTAATGTTAGGTTTTTACTTAGTTATAAAAATGGCACATAATTACATTTAAAATAAATTTATTATATATAAGACATTAAACTAGAGTGATTTTAGATACAAATTTAAGTTTGCATTTAAATGCTAATTTTGAGAAACAACTGAGATAAGCTTTAAACTATCATTATTTATAAACATTTAAACTAACATCAATATCTCCTTAGTATTAAATGTAAAGTAATTGTACACCAGTACATGTAAGCCAACATGAAAACATACCTTGTCAGAAGAGAGTAGTTTTCTTGAAAGTAGAATTTATCCACCTTGTACTACTTATCTACAATGTAAGTGTTCTCAGTCACTGTTTCAGAAGAAAAGATGAGGTGTTACACTTAAGAGACAAAACACCCTCCAACACAGCCTCTGGTGTGGCTGCACCCTGGGTGATACCAGAATAAACTGCTCCTACAGATTAGTCCATGTTAGTACTGAGGAGCGAGATTAAAACTTGTTACTGGTCATATGTTTTCCATCACTGTTTGTATCGTAGCCAAAACTTCTAGCTAAACTCTAGACGTCTACTGGAAGATTCGAAAGAAAAAAAAAGTTTAATAATGCATGGCAACTGGCCACTGAAGTTGCAGTCAGAGTCACTGAAGAAATACCTGATCTGAAAAAATACTTTATGAAATTCTTAACTGAATTAACACATAAAAATTATTATTTCAAAACTTACCCCATATAGACTAATACAACATTTATCAATCTTAGTAAGGAATACCAGTATTATTGAAGTGCAAACCCAAACTCCAGATGTACCTGAGAAAGGAGGTATGCATTTGTTTTCTCCTAATGACTGAAGCAGGTTACTCAAGATCTTTTTTTCTTTTTTAAGCTCTTAACCCTGCAATAAAGCATGTCAAGGGGAACTGCAGACCAGATCCTGCAAGTTGCTCCCTGCCTCCAGCATGTGTTATAATGTAGACAGCTGTGTGTAGCAGGTAACCTTCTCTTGGGATCCTTGCAGCCTTCCCTTTGCAAGACCCTCAGCTGTGCCTTCACTGATGTTTTGGAGACCTGAGAGCAGAGAAGATGCCATCCTCTGAGAAGAAAAATCATTGTTTATGTCTTCTTTTCCATTCACCCCACGATATTGCCCAATTACCACATCCACTCTGACATAATTCTTTAAAAGAGGATGTTTTTCTGACTCCAGTGACAAAGACTCACTGATATAGGTGACTCCGATGGGTCATGTGATTGTTGTGTGGATTTGGGAACAGCCTATTTGCAAAGAGCTTTTTCAGTGGATTAGCACAATTTATCCTGACAGAATCTGTCATAAAGAATCCAACCAACTGTTGGTCCTACTCTCCAGAGAAATAGAACAAATGTTTAAGTAAGACAGCTACAGCTATGAACTACTTGTGCCTTACATGTGCACATACCCACATGTTCATCCTTCCATCATTTAAAAATGCTAATTCTTTAACCTCAAGTGTGACAGGCAGCTCCACAGCCCTGTACTGCAACCCTAAGTGTAATTTAGGTGCTGCTCCAACCCCGGAGCAGCTGAGGAAAAGACAGCCTCCTGTTGGGTTAGAATGCTCATATTCTTAGTTATTCAATTATATTGTAGTTGCAAATGTGTTGTTAACTTGATGACTTGGAAACTTCATGAAAGCATGAGCTGTATTCTATTAATCCTTGTGGCCAGAGCATCCAGCATCTGCCTGAATTCCATCACAGCTCACTCATAAACAGGAAGCCCTTGAGTAAAATCGTTTGTCCTGTATAATGCTTTGTTTTGTTTTTTCAGCATTTTATTGAAGCATATATTACAAAGAGATAAACACCATAATGGTACAACTCAATTAATTCTTACAAACTGATTCCTGATCAAGAAATCCCAGTATTTCCCCAGACCCTCCTTACTCTCCTCAAGGAAGCCACTCCCTGACTTCAACACCATAGATTATTTCCTGAATATTGTAGTAATGTGCATTCTCTTGTGTCTGGCTGTTTTCATTCAACATTAGTTTTTGGAGAGCCACTCATGTCATTGCAGTTAACAGTAGTTCAATCTCATTACCATGTAGTATTATAGGAATACACTACAAATTATTTATATATTCAGCTGAGATAATTACCTTTTGAAGAACTGCTGTGAACATTTTTAATCATTTGGGTATTAGGTGGGAATTATTATATTTAAAAGGTATAAGATTTCATCTTCTCTTGAGAAAGAAAAGATGGTTCCACTTTTGCATGTCAGCATTTGTCTGGAGCTCAGGCTCCTTCTCTCGGGGAATGTATGTTTTTACTTCTCTGCTCAAACTGTGTCCATATCACCCTCCAGGAAATTTTATACCAAATTTATATATATCCTGACTAATGCTTTGTGACAAAACTGGCCCTGAAGTCCAGCAGAGCTGAGGATGTAGGCCAGGATCCTCTTGCCTCTCGTGGATTTGCTGCTGCAGGGTCACAGGGCTGAGCTCTCTCTTGTCATCTCACTTGAGGTTTCCAGTTTTAAGAAATAAATTATTGTCATAAATGGTTATTTAGCATGAATTTTGTGTGAATTTAGAATGAAGGGCTTATATAATTTAGGTTTTTATATTGTATGGATATCACAGGGTGGATCAAAAGTCAGTTTGCTTTGTGGAATCAGTACTTTGTGGTTTTTGTTTTAAGTACACTTCCCAGGTTTTTTTCGTTGAGAGTACATGAGAACAGTAAACAAATGCATCCAGCTTCCATATCTGTGTTTCTAAATACTGTTTCCCATTGGAAGGAATGGGTGCTCTTTGGAAATGACCAATAACAGGATCTGTGAGCCCTTATTAGGTTTTGAACCTCACACATGTTGGGACATCTGAGTTCTGAATATGGATGGTACATTAGATGATGAAAATCATTTTACATTTCTTGGATTTGATAATGTGAGAGAAAATAGTAATTATTTCAGAGTTGTAAGAAAATGTCTTTGTTCTTAGGTGATTCATACTAAAGTGTTGGAGCAAAGCATTAGGATGTCTACAACATACATTCAGGTTGTCCAGAACCATCTCCAAGGGATGGATGGATAAAGTTATAGATAGAAGGATACAGATGGGTAGAAAGAGGTTAATTTAAATACAAGTAGGTAGATGGGTGGATACGTGGATGAATGGATGAACAGCCATGGATATGGAAGGAGAGATATGAAAAAATTGACAAAGTGTTAACTAGTGGTATATAGATGCAAATTATATCTTTTAAACTTTTCTTTGGCCTTGAAAATATTACTCAATAAGTGGGGAAATAATTGGTTAAAATGTGACAAATAAGGCAATTTGCTTTAATTTTAGCTCTTTGTTTTCTCTTGGTGTAAGTTAGATATTTTCATTAAAATTTATTTAAATTAATTTAGGTGTTGCCCTTGGTGGGGATTCTTAACTTGGGTATATGAATCGCTAGAGGATCTGTGAAAATATTTTATAAATTTTCTGGTATATGCAAAGTGTTGGGTTTTTGTTTTTTGGCAGTACTGAGGTTTGAACTCAGGGCTTCACACTTGCTAAGGCAGATGCTCTACCACTTGAGCCAGCCTGCAAAGTGTTTTTATATGTGTATTTTTCTATAGAGAAGGGTCCATTATAGCTTTTATCAAATTCTCAAAGGGGATCCATTCTTTAAATAGTTAAGAACCACTGCCCAAGAATAGATTTACAGTTTGTAATGCATTCTTTCTTCTGGGTGTTGCAATATTAGTTGTATTAGCCTTCAAACAATTCACATATAAATTTGGTACTTGTGAATGTAATTCCCATTTTATGCAAAAAAAAAAAAAACCTTTAACAGATCCCAACTTAGAAAAAGATTTGCTTATATCAGCTGATAGTTTAAGTTTATTTGACCACAGAGATTCTGTTACTTAGAAACAAACCAGAACATTTTAATAACATGATGTATTCCTTTTCTTTTCCAAACTAATACTCATTTAGTGTAATCACATGTTATTTTTAATACAATCATGCTTTCCCTGGTGTGGGATTCACATTCTTCACATTTTATGCAAAGGAAAAAATAAGCTAGTGTGTAAGTTTTGACTTGATCAATTTACATGTAGAAAAGGAAATAACTTTGCAGGAAAAAATAGAATCACAAAAATCCACTTACTGAGTTAGTGGATTATCTGCACTCCTTTGCAGATAAAAGCCTGTGACAGACCAAATTCCAGCAGGGCTTATAGTTTCAAATGTTCTGTTCACCATGTCAAAACAAAGACATGTGAGTAATATGCCAGAGCCTTATTTGAGACGTATAGCGTCAAACATGCATTATCCAGAACACACTTTGCAGTAGCTTTCTTCTCTGAAACCCTTTTATAAGTGCCTCTGGTTCTGTTAGATTAGGTTCAGTTGGAGCTGATAATAGTAGAGCCAGAAATGAAATAGAAAAGGAATAAACTTGCTAGGGGAACCCCTCTGCTCAAAATTTGCCTTTCGAAGGTTAGATCAAAAAGAATTAACCTGGAAGGTAACACACACGCACAGGAAATCAATGTGAGTCAATGCCCTGTATAGCTATTCTTATCTCAACCAGCAAAAACCCTTGTTCTTTCCTATTATTGCTTATACTCTCTCTACAACAAAATTAGAAATAAGGGCAAAATAGTTTCTGCTGGGTATTGGGGGGGGAGAGAGAAGGGGCGGAGTGGGTGGTAAGGGAGGGGGTGGGGGCAGGGGGGAGAAATGAACCAAGCCTTGTATGCACATATGAATAATAAAAGAAAAATGAAAAAAAATAAATAAAGGAATAGGGCCTAGACCTGAATGTTTTCCTGGGTGAGGAATATTGCCTTTCTGCAAAGTAACCCATTAAACTGAAAAAAAAAAAAATTTGCCTTTCGAGCTAAGGATAGAAGGGCTTGGGCTTGTCACTGCAGACTGTCCTGCTGGAGACTAGCAAGAAGCTGTTGAAGACACACTCAGAGATTATTTTTCAGGAGGAATCCACTACTGGACAGGCTTATTGATTAAATAATTTTCTAATTTGACTGGCTGTTTTAAATAATATGCAGTTTTTTCCCTTTTATGTGTTATAAGTAAATCACATTCATAGGTCAAACAATTTTCTTTCCTATGGTCAGTATTTTTTTAACCTATTGGTGAGAAGTATTTTAGACTAAGTTCCAGTATCTCTTCCTCAGCCTGGAGATCCTGCTCAGGAATGTTGTCTACACTGCAGTTCATTTCATTCTGTGCAGTGGACATATACACCGTGACACAGAACAAAGATGGTTACACTTGAGTTTGGTTGTTAATCCCTCACCTTCTCTTCAGGACAGCCATGGTTTGCTGAGCTGGCAACATGGCTGCAGGGTCCCTGTTGAGGTCTCCCCATTTGAGAACCCCATGCTCTTTACTCTCTGGCCCTGTACAGAGCTGAGTGCTGAGTGATTGCCTCATTTAATCTTGATCAGCCATGGAACACAGATATTTCCCCAATTTTGTGGACAAGGACACTGGAACTCAGAGTCTAGGTTACTCGGCCAAGTTACTGGCCAATACTAATTCCAGTTCAGAGTCTTGATACTCTTTTTTTTTTTCCAAGTGTGAGACATGAATCGTTACATTTTACAGACATTTAGGGCCTAAGGGCCCCTCATGGTCATCTGATATTGGGTTAGAGCTGGCCAGAAACTTCTTATAATGGGTACTTTTTAATATTTTTTAATTTTAGGCTAATAAATGATCTGAGTTGATATTCTACTGTGAACAGAGAAATAATTCATTCATTTCTTAGTTTGTAAATATTTCCATTAGGAAACTTTCCACTCTTTCTCTAAGAGGAGTGGAATGGATTTCATATAGGGTTTTACCGCACCCTTTGAGGTTTCACTTTAACAGCAGAATTTGAGTATTTCATTAAGTCAGCATCTCAGGAACATAGTAATTCATGGTACACTTAAATGATGGCTTTGGAAGTACGTAGCCAATGTTGCTATTATACAGAACAACCAGATTGATTGCTAAGTAATGCCAGTTGTCAAAGCATGACTTACTTGTTTTAAAAACATACTCTTTGCTTTCTGATGTCTATGTCAGGAAATATTAACAAGAGAAATTATTCCTAATTAATTTTATGACCTCATATAAATATTTTTCCATTTAGTTTCTCATTTTCCCTTTGCAAATCCTTAAATTTTGCAGATTCCTTTCTGGTTTTCTTAGTATTGGTATTCCTATCGACTTTGGACAGCCCATGAGCTGGTCCAGTTTGCACTGCAGACCAGAGAAATAAACTCTTTCTTTATTCAGCAGCTATTTAGCATCTACTTTTCCCAGAATTCAAGGGTTCAAGAAATGAATTCTCTTTCTCCTGAGTTTTATGATTTTTTGGAAAAGATACTCTCCACCCAGCTACTGTACAACACCCACATACATAAAGAAGTAATACTTAAGAAGTAATACTAGATATTCAGTAAGACCTAACTAATAAATGCAAGTCTGTTCCAGGGTGGTGGTATAGACATTGAGGCTTCTTGAGGAGGTGGACTTAATACCTGACTGCTGGCTCTGTGAGGTCAGAGACTCAAGTTGTGGAGACTATGGTGAACTTGGCTTCTTCTCCCCTCCTTTGAAATGAGGTTCAGCGCTCTTCTGTTCACAAGTCCCTCCATGCATGTATTGTTACCTCTGCCTTCCTGTCTTTACCATCATCTGGCTTGTCCCCCATCATGACACCCCAGGTTCAGCATATCTTCTTGCAGATGACTTTCTCCCAGCTTCTCAGCAGCATCATGAGTCTTGGTACAGCGACCCTGTCAGGTCACTTCTCTGTGTGCCCCTTATCTTGTTGCAGGGGTACTCACTAAACTCCTTTTGGAGTCTCCCTTGCATCCATACTGTGTGGGCTCCCACTCACTCTGTTTCTGGATTTTTGCTGTGAGCAGTTCTTTTCCCTTCCTTGAACCATTGCTTGCATGATCTGCTCCCCTCTTGAGAATGTTTCAGTGGCATGCTGTATTTTGTATCCCATTGAAGCTGGTCTCTTCTCCCTGGCCATAGCAGCCCTCCCCTTGCCTCTCATTCCTGATGCAGTCAGGAAAGACTCCCATAGACCAGTGAGTCCATACCTAAAACATGTCTGCCTCATGCCCACTTTGTGCCTTCCCCTCACCTGATTCACATCCAGTCTCCAGGCCCAGCTCACATCGTTGATATTTTCTGCTGTCAACTATGTGTGTGCTATAAGAGTTAGGGTTGATTATAGCCTGTGTTATATCACAGGTGTCCTATATTACTCCCCATCTAAATTTGCCAATTCATGGAAATGATTTTTGCCTACAGCACTATGCTTAATATGGGGTATACTGCTGGTAAAAATTTGGGGTTTTATCCTATATAGCTAGGATATCTGTTTTGTGCTTAATTTTTCATATACTTGCTAAATCTAGTGTAATTTTACAAACAGCATTATCATAATTAACACTTTTAAGTGTTACCTTCAAAAGTTTGCATATTATTTAAAAGTCATCAGAACAATTATGTCTGGATGGGAATAATTTTCCTTTCCTGACAACCCCTATAGGTGTCCGTACTGACCAGATAAAACAGTGCATATATGATTTTTCAACTCTACAAAATTATGGGTAGGCTGTTGTTGTTTTGGGTTTTTTTCACTTTAATGAAAGTATTTTTTTCCCCAGTACTGGGGATTGAAAACAGGGCTTTGTGCATACTTAGGCAAGCACTCTACCACTGAGATACAACTGCATCCCTTATGCTTTTTTTTGTTTACTTTGTTTTTGAGACAGAATGTTACTACCTTTTGCCCAGCTAGCCTCAAATTTGCAATTCTCTTTCTCCATCTCCCAAAGTAGCTGGGACTAAAGGCATGTCTACCATGCCCAGGAAAAGCAATCATCTTAAATTTAATTAGGATGACTTCTAAGATGTATGTGATGCCATTTAACAATAGCAGCTCAAAGAGAGGAGGTTTTGAGTATCTTCCACCTCTGTGTTGGCAGCACCTACCACATCACGTTCCCTGTTCTCTATGATTGACCATCAGCTGGCAAGATTTGGGCAGTACTCTCAGGTTCCCCAGATGAAAACCAAAGGGTTATCGAAACCCTCAGGGAGGCAGATTGGTCCAGCAGGAGAAGCACAGACTTGAGAGTTGGAGTACATAGTTAAGTTCAGAATTAGCAACATACTCCCCATCACTCTAATGTACCACTTGTACTCACTGAGCCCAGTGTCATCACCTGCCTGTTCCACAGGGAAGTCCTTGAGCTCTGCAGCACTGTGCCTTTCCCTCCAGAAGAAGAGCACGGGAGGACCAAGGGGCAGCAATCTGCTCAGGCTATTTGTGCCCACTGTGCTGCAGCTCCATGGGAATAGCTGGCAGTCTCTGCCTGAGGCCAAGGCTCTGGGAGTGTAGATAGGGCTGGGAAAAGGAGAAGGAAAGCTACATGTTCTTCATGGATTATAAAACATGCTATGTCATTTAGATTATTCCTAGTTAATTAGCTTTAAGAAGAAAAAAAGGGGGTCCTTGGGAAGTCAAGCCTTTCTGATGACAGCACAGCTGCTTGGTTCCTCTCAATGAAATGGAACCCCTTAATGAGCCTTGTGTGGAAACCTCTTCAAAAAAAAGAAAAGAAAACCTCTTCCTCTCAATGAAATGGAACCCCCTAATGAGTCTTGTGTGAAAACCACTATCTATTCCAGATATGTTACTTTATACTCGAATCACATGAATCCCAGTGAAGTAAAATGACTGCATAATTAATCAGGATCGGAGAACAAGATAAGTTCCCAGGTCTCTTAGTTCCTAGTGTAATCATTTCTTGGTAACACCAAGGTCTATATGTCTTTCACTGTATCATATCTTAGTGCTTTTTAAAATGTTCATGAACATAATGAGCCAAGTCTCAAAATTAGAAATAAAGCTAGTATTCCATGTATATACATGCAAAGATGAGACTATACTATTAAAATTTTCTGACCATGGGTAGGCCCACACTTCCTCAGTGCACATATGTGTTAGTAATCACAGCATATTTATTAAGCCAAATTGAACATCTGTTTGTTGTATCATAAAGAATGTTTGATATGAGGACATTTATCACTATTTTCATGAAATTAAACATCCCATTCAGAACATGATGAAATTTCAAGGCTGAACAAGTTCCATGCTGGAAATGTTTTTTAAAACTATAAAAACCATTGAAATAAATGAACCTTCCAACTTTAGAACAAAGTTCTAAGTCATTCTGATTATTGGCTCTCTGAGGGATTTTGCTACTACCTTTGTAGAATTGGAAAGAGACATGCACAGCTGGTCACAGTGCCCCTGCTACCCATATACTAGCCTTGTCCACTGTCCCTGCAAGGAGAGGACATCCTCCCTCAGCCCCCAGGTCCAGGGAAAGAAGGCCTCAACCCAGCATGCTCATGACATTGTCACCAGTTTCATTGACTCACAGTATTTGCCTGCTTTCTTGATTTTCTGATCATTACCCTACCAGAGAAGACAGACTTTGTCCAATCCATTTGTCACTGTGTTTCTCTAAAACAGAATTTTAAATGCAACTGAATGAAGTCAGAGTGAGAAATGAATGAGGGAATGGTTCAGTAACCCATCTCTGTCATCCTGTTATGCTAAGCCTAATTGACTCAACTGTTCAACTTGAGTCCCTTTTGACACTAATTTTATTTATGTCTTAAATGGCTTTAACCCATTTATGCCAATTCATTTCTATCCATACAGCAAGAATATTGCACAAAGATTCTTGTTAAATAGATGGGTAACCTTGCCTCTTAAATTCAATTTGAGCTTGATCAATTTAAACTAGTATAGCTCTTACCTTTCTAAACTGATCATGAATCTCAACTTTTATTTCCTTCAGATTCTATTTCTGTTCTTAACCACCTGGATTAAGTCTTTGAACATTGAGTCTAATAATCATCCTCATACAGTCTTGTTCATGTTGAAATCTTGGAATTCTAGATATTAAGGAAGGGTACTTATAAACATCAGCCTGGTAGAATAAGTCAGACTTTCACATTGAGTATTACCTATGAAGTTGTCAACCATGGTTTTGCATGAAATACTGGTAATAATAACTGCACTTGTTGTACACACTGTATTTTCCAAAATGCGTTACACTCCTCTCTGGTTCTCATAACAGTCCTGTAAAGTAGGGCTGGAAAGTTCCCAGAGTGATTAAAAGATTAAGTATCTTAAGCCTGAAAAATTAGAGGAAGCCACCTATGGGAGCCATGTTAGACCTTAAGTTCTGAGTCTCATCTTTCTTCAAGACAAACAAAAGAAGTCAGCATACTTTCTATATGTATCTTACAAACATTTTTAGCAATACAAAGATGAAAGGTTGTTAAATACTGAAAACTAATATATGCCTTTGGTAGTGCCCAGTACACAGTAAACACTAAATAACACTGTGTGCAGTTGAACTAAACAAAAGGATACGTTTGAACAAATTAGGGCAAAGGAGATGGACGCTAACTATGGCCAACGGAACAAAAGTGGACATATTGGATTTAACATTTAAGTAAGGTTATAGTCAAGAATAATTTGTAGTTTAGCACACTGTACTGCTTTCCATAATCTTTTCATCTTGCATGAACATTGGTGATTTTTTTTATTTTTTATTTATTTATTTATTTATTTTTACTGTTTTATTATTCATATGTGCATACAAGGCTTGGGTCATTTCTCCCCCCTGCCCCCACCCCCTCTGCCCCCTCCCTCTCCCCTCCCCCCCCTCAATACCCAGCAGAAACTATTTTGCCCTTATTTCTAATTTTGTTGTAGAGAGAGTATAAGCCATAATAGGAAGGAACAAGGGTTTTTGCTGGTTGAGATAAGGATAGCTATACAGGGAGTTGACTCACATTGATTTCCTGTGCATGTGTGTTACCTTCTAGGTTAATTCTTTTTGATCTACCCTTTTCTGTAGTTGCTGGTCCCCTTAACATTGGTGATTTTAAGATACTGTTTTTAATTTTAAAAATAACTTTAGACTAATAGAAGTTTCAAAAATAGCACAGAACTCATATATACCCTTTCACTAACTAGCTGTTAACAGTGTACATAACCACAGTATAATGATCTAAACCAAGAAGTTAGCATTACAGTCCTGTTTTAACTTCACAAATGTAATTTACAGAAAGAACTTAAGTCTACCCAATACTGAGGTATATTTATTCCAGTACTTATAGCACAGGGTTTTACAGACAATGAATAAATTATTTTATCAGAATAACTAATTCACAAATTTTAAGCAGTCTTTCCTGTCAGTGTGCTCTTTGGTCTTGAACCATAGAATACATAATTTTTAAAGGGACTTGGGGTGTTCTCGGCTAGTAGCAGGAGTCAGACCAATTATAAAGGACATGCTTATTTTGCTCCAGAGTCTCCTGGTCTAACTGAGCTACCTGGTGGAAAACTTGAGTGGTTTTCACCCTCACTAAAACTCCTATAAGACAGCACCTCTTCTGTGTATTTTTGGTTATTCTTCTGTGGATTGGAAAATCAGGTTTACTAGCATAATAATGAGTATAATGTGAGGATTATGTCTCTTACTAATGACAAATGCTACTAAAATACACAAGTAAGATTTATAAGTGGCAAAAGAAAACTTGGAATTACTTAATGTTTTGTGGTCTAAGAACAATACTTGAATATGATCGTATGCATGAAAATGCATATGATGATATTTCTCTAGTTTTAATGTAATTGTTTTCAAGGTGAAGATGTTCCAAAGTTGAGTCATCATCCACTTCAGCATTGCAAATCTGTTCTGGAAGAACATTCCTAAAGAAAAATAGACATGGAAGTTATAAATGCTCCAAGTAAAAATGTTGCTTCATGATTCAGGAGTTAAGTTTTACATTTTTTTAACGCTCTTACTCTTTTTCTTTCTTTTTTTGGGTAGTACAGGGATTTGAACTTGGGACCTCACACTTGCTAGTCAGGCACCCTACCACTTGAGCCATTCCACCAGGCCCAAAATGCTTTTACTCTTAAAAGATGGGTCCTTTTTTCATATTGTCCATCAAAATAAATTCCAGCTACATCAAATGTAAATGTAAAACTGCACCCAAATGGAACATGGCCACTCCTTGCCAATGGGGAAAATCTTCCTGATTTGTGATTTGAAAACCAGAAGCACTGTCCTATACTTTGGATGTGGTTTTTGTCTCCCAAGAATTCACGTGCTGGAGGGTTGGTGGGACATTTAAGAGGTGGAGCCTAATAAGAGGCTATTAGGTCATTGGAGCCATCACCAGTGGAAGGGAATGATGCTGGTCTTTTGGAATGAATGGTTCCTGCATGAGTGGTTGTTATGGAAAAGGAGAAAACTGGACCTTCCCTAGTCTCTTAAGATGTCTTGCCACATGATCTCTTACACATGCTACCACCATTGTAAGGTGGTCTGCCACAAGGCCATTGTCAGAGCTGGCACGTAGGTGCTAGCTGGATGAACTGCCATTGGCCAAAGAAGAGACAATTTTATAATGATAACTGAAATGGATCAAAACATACTGAGTTGCTAAGAGAATAAGTACATAATAATTCTCAAGAGAAAAAAAGAACTTCAAAACAAAATAATAACATGTAGGTGCCATTTTCTGATTCTGACTCACAGTATATTTTTACTTATTTTTCTTGTCTTGTGACATTGTCTTTGCTATGTACCCCAGGCTAGCCTCAGACCTGAATCTTCCTGCCGTACCCTTCCCAATACTGGGATTATAGGTGTGTACTACCATGCCCTGCTTTGACTGCCAATATACAGGATCTTGATATTTGTCCTGCCTTTTAGAGTAACAAAGTAACCCTAGTTGATGTGCAGAATTTCTTTACAGAGGGACTTCATCTAAGAAGCATGGAAAGAATGGCAAAAATAGAAATTCATTATTATGTTACCCTTAATGAAATCATGGATTTAAGCAAAAATCATCCGAGTAAAATCATTGGTTCAATGGTGGAAGCAAAAGTTTGTGATGAAGACCCCAGGCTGTGAGTACCTAAATCCAATGATAAATTTTAGAATCACTAAAAGTAGGACAAACATTTTATGCCTCCTGATGCACTGAAATATGAAGCAGAAGGCAAGACATATGAAGGAATTATGCCAAAAATTTTTGAAAATGAATCTTTCCTACCCTACATTTTCCCCTAGTGCTTTTTTAAAACTCTTCTACCTTTCCCTTTTTTAGGCATTTAGTTTGGAATTTTAGAGAAAGGGTAAGAGGTGTAATCCTTTGGCCCAGAACAGAGCTGTTTCCCTCATTGCCAGTGTTAAAGACAGCACTCAAAAGTGTCCCATCTTAATCCTCGAGTCACTTGTGCTGTCTAGCCAGGGATGATGACTAAAAGACATACAAAACAATGTGTCCCCCAAAATGAAAGTTGTGTCTCAAGAAATATCTTCAGAATTTTGCCTTCAGAAAAATATAAATGGAATCAATTTTAATTTGAACATGTGTTTTGGTTTGTGCTCTGCAAATCCGTTTCTTTAAAATTATATATGTAGGTGGGAAAAGTAGCATAGTCTATTTGTTGCTTTGCAGCATTAAACTTGTCTCCAAAGTTCTGAGTATTATGTAATAATTCTATTTGATAATACTATGGAAATTTGCAAATATATACAAAAGTAGAACAAAAAGCTATAATGAATCTTCATATGTCTGCCACCCCACTTCAACAATTAGTAACATTGTCAATCTTGTTTAATCCTACTCCTTAGCACCTTTTTATTCCTAAAGGAAATCCAGAGTTCATGACTGTTTAATCATATATTTTATCAATCACAATTTAAAATGATACTTCATACCACAAAGAGCCAAAACTTACCGAATCTTATTGTTGTTCAGCCTCAGAAAATGTAGTGCTTTCATTGCTTCTATCCCAGGTGGTATAGATTTTAAATCATTGTGATCCAGAAATAACTCTCTCAGAGAATGATAGGCCCCATAGAATGAAACTGGGTCCACACCACCATCAGACAGTCTGTTAAATGACAGGTACAAGTATTCCAGGCCTGGCACCATATGGCCAAACACATAGCCAGGGATCCGTTCAATCTGGTTCCCTATGAGTACGAGGTGCACCAGGGACTTGGGTAGGTAGGAGGGGACATGGTAGAGCTTGTTGTAGGAGAGGTCGATGGATTCTAGGTTTCTGTAGCAAAGAAAAAGTGAATAGGATACCTCAGGAAAGTGACCAGCAGCTCTGAATTTTGACAAGGCCAGCTGGTCTGTTGTCCTACAAGTACCAGTTTACAGTGATGGCTTAAACAGAAGCTTGATTATGTGCCAGCCTGGGTCTGTCTGGCTCCAAGGCCCATGTTCTTACCAGCACCCACACTGCCTCCACACAAGTGTGCATCAGAGGGTTACACCAGAGTTTGGGAGAGAGAACTTGGGTCTTGAGGTAATAGAAGGCTCAAAAACTTCCCTGGAATATTTCTAACCTCAGACTGTTGAACTAAATGAAATCCAGAGTCCTGATTCCAGCAAGGGAGTTTCTTAATTTTAATTTTTTCCTTGTTTTTCCCGCTGCATTTTCATTCCACATTGGATCTGATGATCTGGTATACCCGAGACTTGGGGGTAGATGAAGGGATCTCCATCTGGAAGGTCCAGGGAATATGGCGAACTCCTGTCCTTATTTCATCATCTTGGGCTTCTGTTCATCTCTTCTCACTGGTAAAGACTCATAAGGGACTCATTTTTCTTCTGTTGGCCCTAATAGCCTCTTTCATCTCCCCCCATTATATTTCTGAACAACCCACATCCTAAGCTATGCTACTTGGAAATGTGGTACCCAGGACACTTAGTCTATGTCTGGCTCATCTGTTGGACCTGCTGCCTGGGCTAACCTCTAAGTCCTTTCTGCTTCACTGAGGACTGGAGTGAGGCTGCTGACTCCCACCAAAGAGCCTCTTTCATCCATTTTGTGAGACTTGAATGGGAGAAATAGTTTTGGACAAAAGAACGCAGTGAAGGAGAACAGACCTGGCCTTTGGAGCCTTCCACCTAACGATGGTGAGGAAGAAGAATGGCACATTTCTTCTTCACTGTGTATCCCATTTAAACCTCCTGACAACCTGTGAGGTAAACAGAGCTAGGGTGGCATCTGAAAGTTGTAGTCAGACCTCAGTTCTGCCTAGCTTAGCACTTGGCACATGGCAGGGTATCCACTAGGCAGTAGTGATCCTAAAGCCAGTTTGGAAACTCCATAAAGTAGCCACATTTGGGATAGGGCAAGAGGTCACTAAGAAAGAATGCTAAGAAAGTTAAATGATAGCATATACTTACTCTTGATTTATCCAGGCTAAAGGGGCAATCCTATTTTCTTCTATTTTATTATAACGTAGCACAATCACATTGATCTTTCTGGTATGATTGAAACAAATTTCTGTTATTTCTTCAATTTGGTTATGTTCTAGGTATAATTCCTATAATTAAGAGAAAAAACTATTATTTTGTTCCATTTTTGCTCAGTGATAAATATATTCAGTTTCATAGAGACTAAATTGAATGTAGACTTCTACTCAGTATTATTATCTGAAGACTTTACTGGTTTTTCAAGTGAGTTCATACTTTCAAGTTGTCAAATTTTATAACTAGTTAAATGAAAAGTACTACCTCTCCTGACTATGGAATTAAATAAATTCAACTTTTTTAGCCATGATACAAGATAGGGTATACCATACAATTACATAAAGCTTTCTGATTTGTGGCATCTTTTTTTATAAATTATCTCCTTTGAGCTATAAAGCTCTGGGAAGACCACTCACCAGCAAGAAGCTCTTGAACCAGGTTCCAGGGCTGATGCACAAGGGCTCTGCCTATCTGACCCTTACCCCAGGCCAGCTGCCCAGTATTCCAACAAGCCTCTAACTTTTTTAGGCTCATGTTTTTAGACTTAATTATAATTAATCAAAATTTAAGTTCAGTAAGAGGCTTAATTTAGGATCAGAGCAAAGTTTGCTACAACTACTCATGAGTTTTTCTGGTTTTTTTTTTTTTTTTTCTCGTGATACTAGGGTTTGAACTCAGCTTTGTGCTTGCTGGGCATTCATTCTACCAGTTGAGCCACACTTCCAGCCCCTAGTAAGTTTTTAATAGTTAGCTACCTTCCAGTTAAATTTAGTTGGCATTAGGAATTTTTTACTAAAGGATCTAAATTATTAAAATTCTCCTTGTTTTCATTGGAATGAAGAAGTAGAATTCTTCTGCATAACTTTCTATTATTCCTATTATAATTTTCCCCTTTGTCATTTAATTTGGTATTTGGTAGAAGTGGGTAAAGCAATTTTCAGCTTTTTGCTTTTACCTTCATACATAGGTAAGGAGTGAGTTAGATCACTGGTTCCCAAACTCATACAACTCATAATCTTTTTTTGGCAGACAGGCAACTAGAAATTGAACTCAGGGCTTCATTCTTGCAAAGCAGGAACTTTACTGCGTGAGCTACACTTCCTGTTCATTTTGGGCTAGTTATTTCAGAGATGGAATCTCATGAACTATTTGCTGGGCTGGGCTGGAACTATGATCCTCTCAATCCTAGCCTCCCAAGTAGCTAGGATTACAGGCATGAGTCACCAGTGCCCAGCAACTCATAATCTTTTAAGGTATAATTTCCAGACCAGGTATGGTAGTGCACACCTGTAATTCCATCTATTCAGGAAACAGACTATGAGGATTATGGTTTGAGGTTAACTTGGCAAAAAGTTAGCAAGGCCCCGTCTCCACAAACAAGTTGGGCATGGTGTTTCACATCTGTAATCCAGGCTACCTGGGAAATGTAGGTAGAAGGATTGCGGTAGAAGGAGAGCTCCAGGCAAAAATGTAAGACACTATCTGAAAAAATAACCAAAGCATAAAGAACTTGGGGGTATTGCTCAAGTGGTACAGTGCTTGCCTAGCAAGCATGAGGCCCTGAGTTTAAACCCTGGTAGCATCAAAAAAAGTATAATTTCCAACCTAAATGAAGCACAGTAAGAGACTCACTACAGGTACGAATGATGTGAACAGTCTTTGAGTGTATAGTTAGGCGAGGCTGGCATGCAGTAAAGGATTTGGAAGGTTCTGTCTCACGCCATGTGTTTGTACATTATGTGTCCAGCACTTCCCATTTGGCAGGGGGAGGACTCTTCAGAGAAGCCAGGTTGAGAAGTTCAGGTGTTGGGAGGGGCACATTGCTCTGTATTTTCCAAGTTAAATGTGTCTGCGTTTTACCAGTTGCAAGTGTAAAATTTTGATCTTTAAAATTTTAAATGTCTGGTCCAGGATTGGTCTAGGAGTCCATACGTCCTAAGAACCTAGGTGATTCTGATATAAAGCCATGTATTAATAAATTCCCATGTTGTATAACTGTGTCTCTTCATCTGGAAATAGGAAGAAGAGGGTGGGTGGTAGTATGACAACCACGTAAGATCACAGTGGAAGACTTTGTGTTTTGCTCACTGTGGCTAGAGGAAGCTCCATCCCTACTTCCAGCAGGACGATTGCATAGTGAGATAGAAACGAAGCCCAGATAAGAAAATCCATGGGTTCCAGCTGGTTCTGTCAGTGTTTATATACTTTGGACCTCAGGGTCCCTCACACAGGAAGTGAAGAGTGTTGACCCTCTCTGGCCAAAGACCATTTGAGCACCCTACAGAAAGTAGACAGCACTTCTAGAAACCCTTGAAGAGACTCATGACAGGGTTGAAACAAACCAGGGCTTTGGTACTGGAGTCAGTCACAGGGCAGTCTTGGTAGGAAATGGTCAAAATTTGTAAGCTACAGAATTGCTAGAATAGGCAAGGCCTTCTTGTGCAACATTTCATGCATACTGTTGGCATTCAGTCAGAGCATCTGTGGTTTTATCTGGAACTTGTGAGTGGGGAGAGATGGGATGAAAGAGCTTGAACTTCATGATTCTGCTGGGATAGTTTATAATGTCTTAAGAGATAGGGCACCTTTTGAAAGTTGTGGTTTCTGTTCCTCTTCTCCATTCTTCCAAAGACCTATCAGCAGTACTGTTTATCATTTTATCTGGAGCATCTGATGCTCAGATCATAGTAAATTCTGAATATAGCACTGAAACACTACTAAGTTTAATATACATTACAATGGTCTTTTAAGATATGCTTCTCTTATTGTGTATTGTATTTACAATATAATACATTTAAACATTAGAAGAAAGATAATTGGTACCTCAACCGAAGCAGGAAGACCCTGTGGTATAATTCTAAATTTATTTTTTCCCAGACGCAGGTAGGCTAGACTCTTCAAAGGTTTGAAAGCTAAAGGATTCACATTGGCTTCACTGAGATTGTTTCCTTCCAACTCTAAGGTGACCAACTGATTTAAGTCTATAAAAAATAAAATCAGAATATTAGAATAATTGAAAAGCCATGTAGGTATAGCACTTGCCTAGCATAAGCAAGACCCTGAGTTCAGCACCCCCATCACTGCAAAAAAAAAAAAAGAAGAAGAAAAGAAAAAACCATGAAGTTTTATATCCTTCATGGGAAAAGTTCAGTGTATTTGGAGATGCATAGTTTCTTTATCTTTGTTCACCCCATAGCTACTTTTCCTAAGTAATTTGTACATTCCAATTGCACAGTTCAACCAGGACAAAAATATGTGGTCCAGAGACAAAATCATTCAAGTGTTGAATGGTACAAATATTTATAAGGAATAGAGGCAATAGAGGGAGGAGGAAGGTAAGGAACAGAGTCAGGGACATTCCTACAGGCCAAGAAGTAAGTAGGAGTGAGAAGGTTGTGTGAAACTGAGCTCCTGGAATCCTAGCTTCTTGGGAGGCTGAGATCAGGAGGATTGAGGGTATTTCACAAGACCCTATCTCCAAAATAACCAAGCAAAATAGACTGCAGGTGTGGCTCAAGCAGTAGAGTGCCTGCTTTGCAAGTGTGAAGTCCTGAGTTCAAATTCCAGTCCCACCAAAGAAGAAGGAAGAAAGAAGAAGGAGAAGGAGGTGGTTGTGGGAGGTTGTTGGGAGCATTTTCAGAAACATGAACACAGAAAGGAGCACTCTTTCTCTAGCAAACCCTCACTCTCTGAACAAGGGGGTTAGAAATAAAGCAGAGCAGTTAATTCCCACTTAGTTACTCACTTTTTGGCACAGAGTGCAACCAAATGGAAGTGTTTTGAAAGAAAGATGATCAGAAATTCTCCACACATTCAGATTGAGCTACCAAGAAAGGCCTTTATACAAACAATTTTTTCTACAATGTTTCTACTGGCCTCCAGAGTGGTATCATTCAGGTCACTTGGAAGCTTCATGCCGGAGCACACACCACTCAACAACGTCATACCCAGGGGTCTCTGAGTCAGCGTTCAGGGCGTGGCCAGTATTCTCAGAACAGGGGATGTTTTCCTCTTCAACCCCTGTGCTGGGCATTGTACCGTATGCCCTGTGAGACTCCATCCTACTCTAGACAACAGCAAATATCGTCACATCAGGAGTAGGGATAATAAATGCCGAAAGATTAAAGATGGTGTATATTTGAGTCATATGGAAGTGGTAGGCTCTTAAGACTTAGATAAAAGTGGGAAGAACTTTCAGGCTGAAACAGCCAGAGGAGCCCACACAGGTGAAGGTCCCATGTAGCTGTGCTTGGAGTGGGGACCTCACCCTGGTGTGAACCATGTATACTGGGGTGAGGTTAGTACTCAGGGAGAAGTGCCTTTGGGTGCTAGTTTGATCCTCATTCTCTGGACACTGAGGAGCAGGCCAGAAGATGGTATGCAGAAGCAACATTATAAAATATTAGTCTGGTGCTTACCATCAGTTGAATGTTTAGATGGCAGGAAGTAGAAAGGCTAACCAGGAAACTGGGTAAGTGGTTTATGCTGGACTCTAGCTTTAATTTTGGAAATAAGAGAATATAAAACCACTTTTCTCATATTCTCTTATTCCCAAAATTAAAGCTAGAGTCTAGCATTTCTATAATACATATTTAAGATTTTGCAGTGTACAGGTTTTCTATTGAAAGGTAGTGGACTAGTGGTCATTACATAATCACAGAGAAACACAGAGCAAACTGATGATGCTGTATGTTCCTTTACTGTTATGAGGTGTATGTGTGTGTAGTAGATGGAGCTAGAGAAAGTTTCTGGTGGGCAGATCTGAGGTTGATGTTGAAAGAAGGATTAATGAGCAGGAAATAGGTAAAAGTAAAAGAAAACCTTTTTGGTTGAGGCACTATGACCACTTGTGGACATGATGAGGGAACAGTGGATCAATGTTATTAGTGGGCTAAAGTGGCAACAGTGGTTGTGGTCATTAATAATGACTGAAATATTTCTGAAGTATGTCTGGTTTCCCTCTCTCTACCCTCCACTTCTTCATCAGTGGTAAACTCTCAGTTTCTCCTAAGCACATGCTCACATCTCACATGGTCTCCTGCACCTCATTTGGCATGCATGCCCCCATCACACTCATCACACTGCCTTTCACTCTCATCACACCTGGCTCCTGGCATAGCCTGCCTAAAGTTCCCACCACATCCAGAGTTATCTTGTCTCTTCACATCTTTCAAATGCTGTTTTCTGTCTCTGGAGGGCCCTCCTCCCCACTTTTTTGCAACTGTAATCTGGAAGGTCATAAGTAAGGAGGTGCAGAGAGGGATGACAGGACAGAAGCAGTCACTGATGGTCAAGCCAGAGGCTCTACACAAGAGGTCTGCATCACGAAACCGGGTGGGGCCTCTCAGGCTCACCTGCTCACTGCCATCCAGCCCAACCATCCACAACAGCGGGATTCATGGGAGCCAAGATGGTACAGCAGCTGTCTCAGCAAAGGGAACACCCAACACCCAAGAGGCCAGCACCACAGCAAAACTTAGAACCCAGCCCATATAGGAAGCAGATGGAAGGCTTTCTGGGTGAGAGGATAGCAGATAGCTTCCTTTTTATCCACGTGCATGGGAATGAGGCCTCTCAAGGGTAGAGGTAGGAAAGCATGTGGCCACTTCCTCCTGGACCATATGTCAATACTCTGGGAATGCAGAGGCATTTGTAAGTAAGGAAGAAGAGTGAGCTAAGAAGCAGTTGCAGGAATCTGTGAGAACACCTTCAAAATCAGTAGCTTACAGCAGATGTGGTACACAACTATAATCCCAGCACTCAGGAGGCTGAGGCAGGAGGGTCACAAGTTGAAGACCAGCTCAGGCTATATAGATAGACCTGTCTTTAAAGAGGAAGGGAGGAAGGAAAGAAATCTCATATTTTATAAGGTATTCTGATAGCAGAGCTAGAAATGTGAACTCACATATAGTTTGTAATGCCTATTAGCACACTTGTTTAAGTTTTGTTCCTTTCAGAATATTTAACAGCAGTTAGAAATTAAACTTTCCAGTGTTTTTACCATATGACAAAGCCCATCAAAATTTGTGTTCATTAATGTTTTTCATGTGTTTCATGTGTACCCTGAAATCCATCTGGAATTTGAGTATTTCCATAACTATGTAATCTTCAGATTTGGCAATTCTCATAATTACTGTTCTTTTTTCATCACCAAAAGTGTTTTGTTCCTTTGAAGATTTTTGAGAACTAATGGAAATAACTGGATTTTTTTCCTTAAGTGTCTGGTTTTTCAACATAATAAATGCTTCAAATCAAGTTAACAGAAAGTGGTGAGCATTATGCCTCAAAACTAGTGCTAGATGGCTAATAAAAGAAAAAGAAAAATTAGGCAGTCTTATTTTAAGGAAGCTCACAATCTAATGAGAGGTGTCAGAATTTGTGAAAAGTGAAACGCAGTAACATTCTTCTGTACAGAACCACAGTATGACAACTTCAGCTACCTAGCACTGTTCCAAAAACAAGCACAAGAGGAGCCAGTTCCAACAAGTTCACATGCACCTCACTAAAGTCTGTGCATCAGAAAGCCAGGCTGACGTGGTGACAGCCTCACTCCACACACAGGGTAGACATGACATACGAAAAACATGTGGTATGGGTGCAGAAGTAGCAGAAGCCCAGTGACAGCTCCTTCCCTTTCAGCAACAGAACTCTCATAGCTAAGGCTACTCCTGTAAGATTCATGGCCTCCACTACCACATCTCTTCATACCCAGAGCCCACTTATTCCTATTTGATACGTAATTCTCAGGTGCTCTGTTTTAGGTTTCAGCATATGGCAAATTACAATACCAAGGTGCATGGGCACAGCACAGCCATTGGTGGTATAAGGAAAGGGATCCAATAACCAGGCCACCAAAAACCAACAAAAGCACCAATACAGAGCACCAAAATGCATGGCACTGTGGGGGTATTTAATAACTCCCAATAGTATGGATTTATAGGACAGTTATTGTACTGTGAATAATGAGAACCCAGAATTAGTGAATGCATGTTTTATTTATGATTAGGATACCTTTTTTTCTTTTTTTTTACAAATGGCAGTTAGGCAGCTTAAATCTCTTTAAAATTAAGTTTTTACCAGTGCATAGTTAAAATAAATATATCACCTTAAATGGAGAAGTGGCCTAAAATTTTCTACTTATCCATTTGGAAACACAGGAACAAGAGAAGATTATAAGGAAACATGTCATAAAAAGCCAAATGTTAAATACCTGATAAACTTTCTTTATCAATAGCCTGAAGATTGTTCTCATTGAGTTTAAGTTCTTCTAATGTAGATGGCAATTCTGAAGGAATTTGGACCAAATTATTTCCATCCATATTCAGACGAATTAACTTCTTCAGAAGCTGAAAAAACAAATCTCAAAATTACCATTTTATCCAATTGCAGTTATATAGTCATGTATTGCACATAATGGCCAGTTGGGAGTAGGGGCTGAAAGTCACACAAACCTATACTTCCTTAGGCTTAGGCAGTAATGTTCAGATTGGATGGCAGTTTGCCTGTTTATTCCCCTTACCAGCCAAATATTATCTTGGTAATAGTATTGATTCTCAAGCATTTGCAGCAAAGTACATCTGATGTCTTTGTATCCCACTAACATGTATTTACATTAGATTTAGCAAATGAGAGAAAACTGCTATAGCCACTGGATCCGTCATATTTTGCAACATCTGAGGGTTTCACCTTCCCAGCAATAGTCAGAAATTTCATTAATTCATGTAGTAATGTGAATTTGTCATGGATGCTAATAAGACAAAGATTTTACCTTTTGACATATTTATAAAATTAGTTTCCTATCTATAGTAATATTTATATTAGAAAAAGGGTCATAAAATTACTAATTACTGCAGAAATTTTTTAAAACAAAGTGCTACAAATGTCACAAGCTATTCTTATATGGTACCAAATAGTTAACTGTCGGGAAATGCATTCCACACTTGTAGTTGCATGCTCATTGGCCAAACCTAGCCAACACTGCCAAAAGAGCTGAAGTCAAGCAGGTTTTACTGAAGCCAAATAGAATGGTTCACTTCTTCAGTGATTATATTCAAATTTCAACAATTTTAGAATAGGACAGAATTCCAAAGCAAGACGAGGCATCTACAACATTTTTCTCTTTGTCAAATATAGAGAATATCTGACCCCCAATGCCAGCAATTGCTCAGTTAGAAGGTTGAATGCATGAAGCAAGTCCTGGGAGCCTGCTTATCCACCTACTCAGACTCTGAATGAACCAGTGGCTGATACAAAGGGCCCAGAAGACTGCCCAAAGGAACAAAAGTTGAACCTAATGGGATGGTACTGTGTTTTACTTTTGGCTTTAAGGCACACACATTTATAAGTTTACATTTACACACATAAACCTTCCCTCTCTTGCTTCTACTTGTGTTACCCTGAAATTCCTGATCCTCTCTCCTTTTTAAAAAAGAAAGTTTTAGTCAGATCTGTTTCTTTCAAAGGCTTACTTACTCTATACTATTTTATATCCTTTTTGTATCCTTCATCTTCCCAATCTAATCCATGACCATTTTTTTTTCAGGAACACCACCACTACCACCAAAATATCCTCCACCAGATTTTACCCATTGTGCAAAAATAAGAAAGCTGTGTCTTACTGGCCTGAAATTTTTAGTAGCGGTTTCAGATAAGCTACTTATCCTAGACAGTACTTCATATGCTTTAAAAGGCCAGATTTCAATGTGTATTCAGATACTTGGGGAGAAACTACCCCATAATTTCAAAACAGTTATGCCACTGATGTTGGTTCCCCTTAGGGTTAAGACTAAAACATGTAAAATAACAAACAAATATGTAAAAATTAATAAAGAAAAAACTTGAATGCAATTTAGAGACATCAGAGAGGAAACTTTCTTAATGTAGAAGAAAAATACCAGGAAAAAAAATCCTGCATTTTCCCCCCTTGCCCACCTCCAACCATGGCCAGTGCAAGTCATAGTGAAGCTGTCCATGGGAGTTGTTACAGAGTGTTTACCTTGAATGCTTTTGGACCTATGCCTGAAGAGGTGATATTATTTTGGCTCAGATCAAGCCTTTCCAAATTGGTACTCCATTAAATGCTTCATCCGGAATGGAGGTAATGGAATTCCCTAGGACAGGCAGCAGTTGTATTAGGCATGTGCACATATACATACATGTCTGTGAGTGCATGAATATCAACAGAGAGAAAGAGATCTGGAGGAGAAAGCAATTCTTAGGACAAGGACAAATGCATGCTTGGAAAAATAACAAGATTGAGACTAGATGATTCAACACAGTCAAAATCTCTGTAAGGATTCATCATGGTCAGTACCTCATGTTTCAGATGAAGCTGCTTAAAGGAGCCAGAATGCAGTCTGCCGGACAGTGCTTTAGTAACATTATGTGTTTATAACAAATGCCCTGGTTCTGAAAGGTTATACAGACACTGATTTTTATTCTTTATATTTACCCATTGTCCTTTCCCTGGACTGGATATATGATACTGTTTTTATCCAAGGATACACAGACAAATCACTCACCGCCTCTGAGCATGTTTCCTTCTCTGTATTAGTAGCTTGGGAACACTAAGCTCTCAGACCCTCCTCACCCATATCTAATATTACATCTTTCTGTAGTCACAATCTACAAAAATCCTACATGCTTCAATTTTATGGGCTTTTGTTCTGATATGTAGTTAAGTATAGTAGTCAATTATTTTAAACCCAAAAAAGCAAGTTTATCAGAAATAATACACGTTATCAAAAACATGTGGTGACCTTTTTATAAAACTAAGACAGCATAGCCCACCATGGATTATTCATTCTTCCCAAGACTTAATCTTTACCACCTGGGTTTTCTTAGAGCACAGCACACCCAGAACATAGGCCACAGGAGAGGAGGGCCTTGCTGGGAATGAGAGGAATTCCTTAGGTGAACATATAGGGGTGAAATGAAAGCTGTGTCAGGAATGTCATGGAAGCTTCTAGTACATTTGACACTGGCAGTGTCCTATTGCAGATGGCCATCCCTGCACAAATGTTTTGGACCCATTTAGATCCCCTCAATCCTGCATCCTCAGGCTGCCTCCAGCATGTCCCCCCACCAGACAGCCCCTCATATCTGGTCCTACTGTTCCTCCACTCAAAACTCTCCCTGTTGACCCCATGAATACTGGGGCAAAAAGTCTAAACATCACATTCCTGTTGCACTGGAAGGGCTTAAGGAAGGGGGAAAATAACTGATAACACAATGTGCTAGCTGGTTGTGGAACACTGGATTCTCTTGAACATTTCTGGGAGCAATGATGAAGTCAACTTGAAAAGCTGTCAGGCAGTTTCTTAGAAACTTAAATGCCCCTATCACTCAGCAGTTCCCACTCTTGGGTATAACTGTAGAGAAATGAGGGCTTGGGTCCACACAAATATCTGTGTGTGGATAGCAATTTTGTATATAATCTCCCCCCAAAAAATCAACCCACAGTCTACAACTGATAGCTGGTCCATCCATACAATAGAATTCTATTCTGCCATAAAGAATACTGAGCTGAGATCCAAAACAAAATGGGTGCTCACAAAAGCATTGGAAGTCCAACTGAAAATGTTAGGTCCTGTGTAATTCTATTTACGTGACCTTCTCAAAGGCAAAGCTGTAGGAACAGAACACAGATCAGTTTTCTGTGGGAGTCCGGAACTGGTGGAGGTAGAGACATGAGGAATTTGGAGGAATGATGGAAATGTTCTGTATCTTGATAGTGATAGTATTTATTCAGCTGTGTGTATTTGTCAAAACTCAGAACTATACACTAAACATTAGTTTTGCCATATATAAATTATATGTTAAAAAGCTGACTTTTGATAAAAGTTCATGGAAAATCATCATTTGGTTTTGAGTTGCTTTCCACCTAAATGAGCCATTCTATGGTGAGTGTCTGTCTCTTCTGCACAGTATATGTGTATGAAGATGAAATTAGTCTCTATTATAAAATTTAAATGTAACATTTATAGAGCAATAAGAGTTCCCATTTCTGTAAAAAACACAAAATGAAAGCTGACAGGTCTTACCAATGAGCTCCAGACTTGTTATCTCTGGTCCTATCAGTGGTGGGATCTGGGTGAGGGTTGCATAGCTGCAGCTGATGGTCCTGTAGGACAGGGAACAGTCACTGGGCAGGCGTGGCCTGCCTCTCCGGGGGGCAGGGATAGGGGACCAGGAGGGTATTCCAAACACATCTCCTCTTACAGGGCCTTTCTCTTTCTCTTCCTCTTCCTCTTCCTCCTGTTCCTCCTCTCCATCGTCCTCCTCTTCTTCCTCTTTCCTTCTGTGATGTAGCTGCTGTTGTACCAACTTCTGCTTCTCCCCAGGCCTCCACTTTCTCTCTCTTTCACCTTCCCCCTCACTGTAAAGTTTGCCTCGAACTCCAGGTCCAGAGATCTCTTTGTTGTGCTCTGTAGCTTCTTTAATTTCTTCATCATCCTCCTCAGATTGAAGTGCTTCTTTTCTGAATACTTGGTCCATTTCCACCTGCTGAGGTGGCAGTTGCTTATCAAGTAGATTGGTAGGTTCTCTTTGTTCTGAAGAATCACCAGAAAATTCAGCTCTGTCATTTAATGCTCTGCCATTGAATAGGGAATAGAAGACTAATGGCCACACAAGGAGGAGGGTGGTAGCAGAGGCAAGTTGATGATGTTAATAAAGGAGAAATTATAATGAAAATGAGATTAGTAAATATTATTCCCTCCAGAGATTTGAGTGCCATCTAAAGATGAAATGCATCCTGAAATTTTTCCTTGAAAAGTTCTAATCATAACTTTATTCTGTTTTGTAAGATCTGCTATAAATTGATGTTTTTTGTGCCTGTGGGCTTTATTACTAGTTTTTACATTAAATAACTTAATACTTATTTTTGCTAGAACATTACGTTACCTGGTAACTAAAGAGGGAATAATATTGCCACATGCTGGAAAGTAGAAAGCAATCCCATTATGATATTGTGATACATCAGATGTGATGCCTTTATAATAGATACTGTTCTGTTAACTGGGACTATTGATAAGGCAAGAATTTATAGACTGTCATTAAATATAAAAAGATGACCAAATGTATATTTCACTTGCTTACATCAGTGAAACTGTCTTTGTTTGCACATTTACTATTTTTATCCAATTTTTTTTCAGCTCATAGGCTTGATGGCATCCTCTGAAATTGAGAATTATAGATGGAAAATTCTCTTTTTCCTTCCTGGACTCTCAACTTAATTTTTGCTGCCAGAGACTAATAGATAATCTTCTGGACCTAAGTGATGTTGATTTAACTTAGACATCTTCACAGGAGTACAGTTTATCATACTGTGATGATGGGAGGAAAGTAAGCAACAGTAGAAAGTTGATTTACCTTTATATTTAGTTTATGTCCTTGGCAAAATATGGGGAAAACATGACATAAGTCTACATTCAGTCTCACCCTCTGAGGAAAGATAACCGGGGCAGAGAGTGGGGGGAGTGAGTTCATAGTGCATAGGGTTTCTTCCATCAGAATTTATAAATTCATTTACTCATCTCTACCTTCACTTAATACTACATACAAACCACCCTCCAGAAATATAAGTATTTGAAGAAATTACTTGTGATACCAAGTCAGTATATATTATAAAGTCTGAGGGTTTTTTTCACATCTCTAGCAAAACATGCAGAAGGAGAATAGGAAAAAAAATTAGCAAAAAGAAACTGAAGCTATCAAGTTGAAACATTTAAAACCCTCCCTATAGATCCAAGTTTACTATTCCAAAATAACTACAGCATTTCAAGAATATTCCCAATTCCTTTGAAAAAGGTCTGAGAATATCTCAGTCTTGCCAGTAAACCTTGTGTATCACTCCAAGGAATTGGTTTCATTAAACACTTACATTTTCTAACATTTTTTCAATATGCATTGTGCTTTAGTGCAATAGCTGATAGTATGATGCAAAATGCAATTCCTAAATATTCTGAAGTTCTTCCTGGCAGGAGACTTGTGTAGATCGAACCCCATGACCCTCTGTGTGCATGGGACCAATCAATGTATCTTACCAGCAAGAGAAAATGTTGGTATTCCTGCCTGTCTATTTTTTTTTTTTACAATAGTGGGTTTGAACTCAGGCCTCTCACATGCTAGGAACATGCTCTACCACTTGAGCTATGAACCCCAGCCCTTTTTTGCTTTCAGTATTTTTCAGATAAGGTCTTGTGGGGTTTTTTAGTTTAGTTTTGTTTTTGTTGTTTGTTTGTTTGCTGGGGCCAGCCTTGGAGTCTGATACTCCTACCTTTGCCTCCTGCCTAGCTGTGATAACAGGTGTGCATCACCACACCCAGCTTGTTGGTTGAGATGGGGTCTTACTAACACTCTGCCTGTCAGGTCTCAAACTGCAATCCTCTCAATCTCCACTTCCCAAGTAGCTGAGATTACAGGCATGAACCATCACACCTGGCCTATATCATGTTATTTAACAAGTGTTTGTTATTTTCATGTCATTGGCCAAGGTTTTTTTTTTTTGTAGGCATCTTGGACTTACCTCCTAAGGGCCCCCATTTGGTCAGATACAAGTCTCATTGGAGAAGAGATCAGTGAGAATCCCAACAAAAGCCATGCTATGACCTGTGTACAGAAGTGCCACACAAGAAAACATACTCCAGGCCACACTCCTGTGTTTCCCCGGGATTATTCAGGCCATAATGTGGGTTCCTGTGCTCCCTTTGAGTGATCATAAATCTAATTAGAAACCACTCTTCCTTGGTTGCCAAGTGTCTGTATTTAAGATGTACCCATGTTAAGTGGATTAAGTATGATAATGCATGTGCGGACCAAAGAGAGCCCTTAACTCATAGCAATTCGGGGTCTGCTGGAGAAATCTATCACTGTATCTCTAAGCCTGAGTCAGATATGGAATGTAGTCTGGTCCAGGTTTACTCAGGCTGACAGAACTGTAAGTATAAAGCCACAATCTATCATTTCTATACCCTCCCATACACTTAGCCAGATACCTGTGTTCATCAGTATGGGGTCATATTTTAAGTACACTAATGATGTAGGTGTATCATAATTTATGCCTTAACATACTGATATAAGAACAAGTGGAAGTTAGAGACTAAATCATATGTGGTGCTTTAGCTAAATCTCTATACCAGTATCAGAGCAGACTGGGCAGCATTCTCCTTCAGGGATAACTGTGTAGGGGCACATCTGGGGTTGGCACATGGTTTCATCACAAAGGACTCGTCCGTCTGAGCAGAGGCAGGTGGTGCAGGGATCAGGAGACCATACAGCTCTGTTGTACATAGTTATGCCCTTTACCAAGCAGTGTCCCTTCTTTCCTATAAGAGAACAGTAACGCACTTAAATTTCTTTCATAAATTTAACACATTTAAATTTCATAGATGTGGTTACCAGCATCTATGAATAGAAGTGAACACAGTGTGAAACCAAACTGATATAACAGCACAAGAATAAAATTCTGTGTGAACCCATGCACAGAATAAAAATGTCTTACAGACATAGCCCTCTGAAATGCTTTTCCTTGTCTTTCCTTTCAGCTCCTCTCGCAAAGGCATTGAGTGATATTCTCATGGTAACTTGACTGTGAATCGCATATCTATCTTGTATCTTTCAGGATAGGCTGAGTTATGCAACAGATGAAACAGTCCCCAAGTCCAAGTTGTTTCTTTTACTTACATACAATATGGAAAACAAGTGGAAATTAAAGACTGAATCACATGTGATATTTAGTGATCACTGTGGGCCCAGGGGCTTGCCTGATTATAGTCACTCTGTAATAGACAACAGGCTTCCTCAAGCAGAATGCCCTGATTGCCACAGTAATGAGAATGTGTTTGTAAATCACACGAGTTGGATGACCACACTTAACTTCAGAAGGGGCAAGCAGTGTAGTTACATCATGCCCTGGAAGTGGAACGGCACCAATGATGAGCCCACAGCCCACTCTTGCTGACATGCACCTCAGGAGAGAGAAAACAGTACCTATCTGTGAGCCTCTAAGCATGACGTTACAGCTCTCTCTTTTTTTACTTACTACATTATTGAAACAAAATACACATGCCATAATAATCACCCTTTTCAAGTACACAATGTAGTGGGTTTTAGTATATTCATTTCTCTATATACCAATCCATTTATCCACAACCTTGGATCAGCTGAATAGGCATTAGACTGCTGAGGGGAGTGTCAGAGAAAAGTGATGTTTTCCTTCCACCCTGGTACCATTTCTGGTAACTCTTCTCCATCTGAGCTATTGTCTCCAAGTTCCACCCAAGATAATCTCTCCTACACACACACACACACACACACACATCTCAGCCCAATTCAGGCCCTACCCATCTCTCATTTGGATACTTACAATAGATTAATCCTATCCACCCAATTACTCCTCTGAGGAAAAAGAAATAAAATACATGTGATTGTGTAAGTGCTACACATATACACTATCAAAATTCCAACAGTTTTGGGGGTTTTTATGGGTTTTTTTGCTGGGGCCTGAACTCAGGGCCTACACCTTGAGCCACTCCGCTAGGATTACAGGTATGAGCCACCAGCGCCTGGCGGTCCTCAAATTCGTAAGGAATTATAAGGGATGCCACATGACCAAAACAATCTTGAGGAAAAAAAGAACAAAGTTAGATTCCAAAAAGTTTAGTGCAAAGCTACAATAATCAGTTTATGCCAATGTGAATGCTAAACAGTCCAGACTTCCATCTGTGGCCAAGTAATTTTCAAGAAGAGTGGCAAGAACATTGAGTGAGGAAAGTCTCTTCAACAAATGGTGTTGTGACAGCTGGATATCCACTGCAAAAGAATGAAGCTAGACTCCTACTTTGTACCAAATATAAAAACGAACTCAAAACGTATCAAAAACTTAAATATAAAAGCAAGGATATAAAACTCTTAGAAAAAAACATAGGGGCAAATATTAATGAACTTGTATTTGGCGATGGCACCAAATCCACAAATAGAAGAAATAGATAGTTATAACTCATCAAAATTTAAAAAGTATGCACCAAAGGATGACAAGAAAGTGAAAAGACAACTTATACAATGAGAGAAAATACTTGAAAATCATGTATGTGAAAAGGGTCTCATATCCAAAATACACATACAGAACTCTTACAGTTCAAAAACAGAAAAATAATCCAATTTAAAAATGGGCAAAGGGGACTTGGGGATGTAGCTCAGTGGTACAGTTCTTGCCTAGTGTACACAAAGCCCTGAGTTCAATCCCCTGCACCACAAAAATATATATATATATATTTTTTAAATGAGCAAAGACTTAAATCAACATTTCTCCAACAGACAAGAAGTCATGAAAAGATACTTGACATCATTAGTTGTTAGGGACATACAAATCAATACTAATTCATACCCACAAGAATGAAAAATGTGGGTTATTAAATACTAGCTTTTAAAATTTTTAAAAATTATAAAAATATCTTTGGTAGAATTTTCAGTCTTTTCAAAGTCAGTGATCTAGTCTGTCTCAAAAAAGTTGAGTGGCTTTCACTCCATTTGTGTTTGGCCGAAACTTGGGTTGAAAATATTTAATAGCTCTTTGTTTGAAAAGTCTTCTGAATAATTTATTTCCTTTCTAGATGATTTGTCATAGATGGAAAAGCACTTTACAAATTTCTATGTAAATTATCTATATTATGATTGACTATTTCTAATACATGCATAGTAAATATACTCACATGAAATAAGCTAAAATGATAACTATGATTTTATAACTATAGTGATAGGGTAAGTAATTTTTTTCCTTTTTCCAATAATTTTGCATAAGTATATTCCATAAATGTTTTTAAAAATGTATGTTTGCTGTATAAGAACTTGAACTTTTCTTTGGACATTTAACTTCATGGTGGTTCTTGCTCTTTCTGTCTCCCTCTTCTCCCCAGTGCACTCTTTCTCACACTGTTCTCTTACCTGGTAATATATTATAGCTTGATTCTACTCCAGATAAAGTCAGAAGGGATTCAAACTTTTCCTCCACACTATAATCAGAGCTGACAATGGGCATTCTGGCTACTGGTGTAACAGTCGATGCTTGCTGAATTTCGGACTGACTGTTTGACCTGTGGTAGGGTGAGAAGCTATCCCTCGATCTTCTGTGGAACATTTTCCTCCTTTGCCTCTTAGGAGTTTCTTCATTTCGTCCAAAGTCAGTTTGATAAATGAGAAGCAGAACAAAACAAAACAAAGCTGCAAATTTCATGTTTGGTTTTTCACCAACCAATTTCTAGAATGAAACAAAGTTTCAAGGTTAGTAGGGACTACATTTTAACTTCTCAAAATTTGTATTATAACTGCTTATAATGCCTCCAAACGGAGGAACTAACACTAGTGTGATATATGGGCTGTATACTGTAATATTACTGACAAATCAGAATTTTGAATTTCTCTATCAGAATCAAAGAAGTTTCGTATCTTTATCTCTAGATCAGCCTGAGCAAGTTTTTCCATGATAACTACTCAACTCTGCTGTTGTAGTATGAAACAAGCCATAGATGATACATGTGTAAATGAGTGAATGTGGCTGTGTTATAGTAAAATGCTCATTATAGTAAAAGGCTGTAGGTGGGACTTGGCCCCTGGGCTGCAGTCAGCTGACCCCTCTCTGGACCTCACTGTGCTTGGGAGATTTCTGTCCATCTGAACTCAGTGACTAGCATCACCCACAATCCATTTTCCCACTCCTCTTTCATTATTTTAATTGCTAGCCTTTGCAATTTTCTGTATGGTGGGGAGGGGATATGATTGTACCATATAAAAGTAACCATGAAGTAGCATCAGTACTAAAGAAGCAGGAGACAGAAAAGTAACAATTAACTGGTCTTGAGGACAGTGCAGGAAGAAACTGAGAAACAAGTTTGAAAAATAAGTTTTAAGGCTCTATTGGTACAGCAGCATTCTGGTGCAGTCCTAGAAAAGCTGGGTAGTGTGGACAGGTAAAGAGAAGGCTCCACAGGTGATAACAGAGGCTATAGTCAGAGATTTCACCCAAACAAGCTCTCCTGCCCTGAAGTTAGTCCTGGCAGCAAAGCCTGCAGGATGTCCACTGCCTATCAAAAGTCAACAGCTGAGACAACTTTCTTCAGTGCTCAGGCCCACACCCTACACCCTACACCCTACACCCTACACCCTACACCCTCCTTCCCACCTGGCAACCCTTCTCCTGTGGCCTACTCAGATCCCTTGCTGTCAGTATCCTGGAGATGGAGAGACCCTGCACAAAGTCCAACATCCATTCCTCATTAAAAATCTCACTGAATTAGAAATAAAAAGGAACTTATTCCATGTGAAACTGCCATTTATGGAACACTTAAACAGCTAACATCACACTTACTAGTGAAATATAATGTTTTCTCCTTAAGATCAGGGACAATGTAAGGACGTCTGTTTGTACCACTTCTGTTCAACACGTTACTGGGTTTTGTAGCCAGTATAGTAACATATGGAAGTAAAATGCATCCAGATTGTAGATGAACATTTTATTATCTCTAGAAATACATTTTTTTGTGAAATAAGATGTATTACAAACAACCAAATATCCTCTGCATAAAATTTAAGAAGACTAGAACTTTAATTCTTAGCAATTGTAAACCACCACTTTCTAGAAAATGCATCCAGATTGGAAAGGAAAAAGTAAAACTGACTTTGTACACAGATGTCTTAGTCATTTATGTAGAAAATCTTATATGGAACTTAACAAAAAAAGCTCTTATAACTAAGACTGGAGTTCAAACCTCAGTGTCACCCTAAAAAAATAAAAATAAAAAAGATCTGATATCTAACAAAAAAGCTTAGCAAGGTTTTAGGATATAAGATCCATCTATGAAAAACAAGATTACTTTTATGTGCTAACAACAATCAGAAATAAAAGTTAACATACCATATCATTTATGATAGCATAAAAATGGGAATTACTGAAGAATATTTCTGACAAAAGATGGGCAAGATGTCTGCCCTGAAAACTCTAAAGTGGTACAGCAAGAAATGAAATAAGATCTGTATAAGCAGAAGTATATGCTATGTCTATGGATCAGATAACTCAGTTGTTAAAATCTCAATTCTCCCCCAAAACAACCTTTCAGTTTGTCACAAAGTTATTCCAAATCCTAGGTACCCAAATTATTGTGATAAAAATTCTCACACTGAGCTTGGGGCAAAATGGTGCATTGCCTGTTATCCCAGCTGCTCAGGAGGCTGAAGCATGAGAATTGTAAGTTCAAGGGCAGCCTGGACAACTTAACAAAATAAAATTTTAAAGGGGTTGGGGGTTTAACTCAGTAGTACAGCATTTACCTAGCATGTTTGTGGCCCTACGTTCAGAATTCAGTATCTCACACACACACAAATTCACAAGCTAAAATTTGTATGGAAACTATAATGGGAATTTTGTTGAGAGACAGATGGAGATCACTGAGGTTGTAAGGACACTGTGGGTATGAGGAATATGTTCATTTTCTTATTTGTGGTCATAGTTTTGCAGGTAACTTTAGATATGTGTACTTTAACTTTCAATTGTCTTCACCCCTATATTTGGACAGGGATGTCACTTTATGTTCTGAGTAAGAATAAAGTTGTTTGGAGTCACATGTCTAAATTATGCAGTGAACAAACTTCACGGTCTGAACTCGTCTAAGGTACTTAACAGCATTGTACAATCTACACTGTTATCAGGCAGAGGAAGTCAGATTGTGGAGGACCTTGAGAATCAGACTGGGATTGATAGCAGTTTGGACCTGGGGTTGGTCCAGAAGCCACATTGGATTCTGCTGCTTATTTTTGTGTTACCTGCAAGCTAAAAATGTTTTTATTCTTTGTAAATGGTTTTTAAAAAATTAGGGCTGAGGATGTAGCTCAGCGGTTGAGCATTTATCAAGTGTGTGCAAGGTCCTGGGTTCCATCCCCAGCATCATTAAAAATAAGACAACATTCCATAATAGATAAAATGAAATTAAATTAAAATTTCAATGTACATAAAGTTTATTTAGAACACAGACATGCTCATTTTTTATTGTTTATGGTTTTGTACTAAAGCAAGCTGAGTTAAGTAGATGCAACAGAGACTCACCATGTAGGCTGCAAGATCTAAAACAGTTTACAGCAAAAGTTTGCCAACTCATAGTTGGGAGCAGTGTCTGGAGATATTTTTAGCAGTCAAAATTGGAAAGGCACTATAGGTTTCTTGTTGAAGAGACCAAAGATGCTGCTAAGCCGCCTTAACAGAGTGTACTGGACAGCCTGCCACAACAGAAAATTAGCTGGTCCTAAATATCAGTAGGTTGAAGAACCCTGATTTATAAAAATATACTGGGGTTTAAATTCAGGGCTTCACACTTGCTATGCAAGTGCTCTACCACTTGAGCCATTCCTACAAACCTTATCTTTGAGATAGGGTCTCACTTTTTGCCTGGGCAAACCTATACCATGATCCTCATATTTTAAGCTTCCCACCATAAATGGGATGACAGGTAGACACCACCACACCCAGCTATTAGTTGAGATGGGGGTCTAACTGCCCAGGCTGGCCTTGAACTGTGATGTTTCTGCTCTCTGCCTCCCAAGTAGCTAGGTTTACAGGCATGAGCCACTGGTGCCTGGCTTTGCCTTAGGTTTTTAATCATGACAGTCACATGTTGCTATAGGCAAAATGTAATGAGTTGTAATTGAATGGGGCCTTTCAGTGGTTAATTATAAAAAGGAATGGTAGAAAATAAATCATTATTTCCATATGGTAACCTCCTTCCCAAAGTTCTGTCCTAATTCCAAGAGTCTCTTTTCATTTGATCTTTTTCCACATCTCATGCATAAGTGTATTAAGGAGAAAAATTCCAGGCATGTTATCCTCTATTTTTAATATCTGTACTTTTAGTGGCATATGGCACTACTGCTGAGGTCATTGTCCACATTATGCATGAGCTCATATGATCAAAATCTTTGATTTATGGTTCTCCTTTCAATTTGTTACTCTCCCGCCCCCAGCCCCCCAGTTCTGAGAATTGAACCCAGGGTCTCATGTGTGCTAGGCAAGAATTCTACCACTGAGCTGATATCCCTAGCCCTTTTTTGCTTTACTTTGAGATGGGATATCTCTGAGTTGCTCAGGCTGACTTCAAACTTGTGATCTTCCTGCCTCAGCCTCCCAAGTAGGTGGGACTACAGGTGGGAACCACCATGCTTGGCTTATTTGTTGTATTTCTGTTGTGCGCTGGTGACACTTGTTTCCTAAGGGTCTACATCTGCCAAAATGGTTTTTCATTATATGGAACGCTGACTGGACCACTGAGGTTAGCTATATTTCCTTATCTCCTCAGGCCTCACTATCCCTGTTCACACAGCACTGTGGGAAAATTCCTCCTGAGGTGGTTGTCCACATGATATCCCATTAGAGATTTAAGGATAAAAACCTTATTCACACTTTTCTGCTGAATTCCTAATATTTTTATCAGTGTTTTTGAAAATGTGGTTAAAATTATAAAAACAAAACATTTTTGAAAACCAAAATGATACAGTAGTATATACAGCAAAAAAGACAAGTTGCCTTAACCATAATTCATAGTTTCATACAGGGGTATTCAAGCTTGTGGGTGTATGTGTGTGTGGTACTGGGGATTGAACTCGGGACCTTCTGCATGGTAGACGAGTGCTCTACCACTTAAGCCATACCCCCAGCCCTCAGACATTTTCATCAAGGACCAGAGAATAAATATTCTGGGCTTTGCAGAGCTGGGGTCTCCGTCACAGCTGCTCAGCTTTGTTATTGTAGCCACAAAGTAACCCTCAGCACTATGTAAGTGGTGGGCATAACTATGTTCCTGTGACACTTTGTATAGAAAACAATCTGGTCTGTGGTTTACAATTTTCTAACTCTGAAATTAGTGTGTCTTCCATGACCCTACCCCCGCCTCAAAAAATACATACGAACATACATATTTGGTTTTTGGCAGTACTGGGGTTTGAACTCAGGGCCTCCCTCCTGCTAGGCAGGCTCTACCACTTGAGCTGCAGTCCCACCCCAACATTTATCCTTTTTATCGCTTCTCATTCTTTCCTGTATCTCTAATCTTCTGTTGGGAATATTTTTTCTCATTAAAAAATATCTTTTAGTAATTTATTTTTTGTAGAAGTGTTGAAAATCAGGTCTCTTTTTGTTCATCTGAAAATGCTTATTATAGATTAGGTTCATTGAAAGTACATACCTGGTGGATATAAAGTTTTAGGTTGACAAGTATTTTCCTTAGCATTTCAAGGATACTATTCTTATGTCTTTTTGTTTCTGTTGATCGGTGAGAAGTCATGGCTTAATCTAATTATTTCTCTTTTAAAAATAGCTATTTTTCTGACTGTTTTTAAGATGTTCTTTTTGTCTTTGCTTTTTTACTGATATATGTAGGTATAATTCTCTTTTTTTCTATAGTGTTTGGGATCCATAGCACTTTTTTAATTTGTGGCCCAGTTTTCATCAAATTTGGGGATTTCCCAGCCCTTATCTCTTCCTCCTCTTTTCAGATCTGCTGTTAATTGTGCAGCAGCCTCCTCATTATGTGTTTTATCCTTCCTTTGCTCCATGATTCATCCTCATTGTTTTAGTTGATCTGATTTATTCATATTCTTTTCAGCTGGAGTTAATGTTATTAATTTCATCTGCTTCCTTGTTTCTTTTATTGTATTTTTTAGCTTTCAGTAGGTTCCTTTTATTGTTTATGATTCTTTACTGAGACTTTTTTTTTTGGCAATACTGGAGCTTGATCTCAGGGCCTTGCACTTGTTAGGTAGGCACTCTACCCACTTAAGCCACTCTGCCAGCCCTCTGCTGGGATTTTTTTATCTCATCTTTTACTCTTGAACATAAAAATCACATTGGTTTTAAAGTCCACATGTGAAGATGAGGTTTTGTGGGTCCTGTTTTTGTCTGTTTCTATCATCTGTTACTTCTCTAGGTTTTTAGCCATATTCTGTCTCTTCATTTGCCTGATGATGTTAGAATTGTTGCCAGATATTTTGCAAAAATTTATGAAAATATTTGAGACTTAGAATCGTGTATTTTCTCTCCAAAGAAGATTTATATCTGCTTCGGGCATGAGGTTACAAACCTACCAATCACTCACTGAGTCCTTTAAAGCTGGGTATCGCTGTATCCCATAATACTCTCACTTTGGGTCCAACCCACAGCTTGCTGATTTCTTCAGCACTTCTCACCACCCCCACTGACTTGGCTCTTATTTCTTTTTTTTGTTTGTTTGTTTGTTTCCCTCTGGCCCCACTAGGGTATTTCAAACCTCTGCTAAGCTTCTCAGCCACGTCTGCTGGAATCCACAGATGGTTCTAAGTCTGGGTTTCAGTCCTATTCCAAATACTGTCCCTGTTGTTTTTCTCATTTTGCTACTTATTCTCAGCAGATCATTGGAGCTGATTTGCCTGGTCAGAGGAAGCTCTTTCATTTGTTTGTTGCAGAAATATATATCCTCTTTCTCTTAGAGAATGTTACAGGTTGTAAAAGTTTGTGATTCTTTTGTGTCTAAAAATATCCTGTTTGATTGAGCATATAATTTACAGCTTCAAAGTCATTTTAATAATTTTCTATGAAAACTATACAGCAGATATTGGTCCATTATTATCTTATACTTGCTGTTGGTGAGAAATTTGACTTGAAAAAAATTAAAGGAAATCTTTTTTTTCCTCCTATGGAAGCTTTTTCAATTTTTCAACTTACCTTTGACATTCAGTTTTAAGGAATGGCAAAAAAAAAAAAAAAAGATCACATCTCTAAGAACAAGCTGAGTGTTGTCACAACATCTGTAATCCCAGCTATGTGGGAGGCTTAGGTAGGAGGATTGCAGAATGAGGCTGGCTTGAGCAAAATGGGATAGGGTTATATCTCAAGTAGACTGCCTGCCTAGCAAGCATGACAACCAGAGTTCAAACCCCAGTACTTAAAAAAAAAATGTTTTGTTATTGCTGTTTAATTTTTCCTCCTTGGGATTTTTTTTTTTTTTTTTTACTAAAAACACCTTTCTCATACGAGCTCCCTTTACTCTTCTCTCCCATGCTTATTCAAGGCTGTGTTTTCCCTCTTTAAACTTGCTCCCTCCATCTGTGAAGATCTTCACAGATGGATCTTCCCTCCATCTGTGAAGGACTCCAGTTTCGCACCAGAAGCTCACATTATTTCCCAGTGCAGCTATATATTCATGAATTTATTTGTTTGTTGTATACCTTCTATTATTTCCAGGGATTTGGTGAAAAGACAAGGGAACCCAATGTGTGTTCAGTCTGCCCCCTTGAATCTCAGTAGATCTTTTTATGATTTCATCTGCCAAAATTGCCCTCCTGCGTCAGGTTTCACCTATGTGGACTTGTCACCACATCACTTTCACTAGCAGCCAATAGGCTTTGTGATATCATCATTGTCAACTTCAGTGCCAAACTTATTCAGGGTATTTGTATATTAATTACTCTAGCCATTTCAAAACCATTTCTATAGGTCATTGAAATTAAACTCTGTTTGAACAACTTAATGTTCTACTTTAGTTTCAGAAAAACTAACATGCAAAATGTAAAGGAGCAAATCCATTAGCTTATTGGCACCTGGAATTATAAAAGTTAATTTATAAAGTAAGGAGGCACGTTGGAAAGGAGGAACAATGGCAGCAGAGGAAGGAGAGGAAAAATCTGAGCTGTGGGCAGCGTCGAGCTAGAATTTGCTGCAAAGGAAGACAAGTTGGTTCAGATGGACACTGCGTGAACACTGAATTGCAGAAAATGTATGCATTGACGTTTTCTTGCTCTGACAATGGAATGTGCAGCCCCTCCATCCTGTGATGGAGAGAGCTCCCATGAGGGTCTCAGGATCCTGCTATCCCTGGGCCTCCTGCAGGCCCCTCTGCCAGGGCGTTGCACCCCCTACCCCAAGTGCTTAGGAGAGCAGGAGAGCACATGCCTGCTGGGGCCACACTGCGCACGTGCTCCCACGGACTTCATCCGAAAACCTTCTCCTTAGCCGTTCTTTCTCCCTCCACATGGACTCACTTTACTTATCCAGAAACCCAGAGAGAAGCAAATTGACAGAGCTATCTAAATATTGACAAAACCAGTATCTAGCCCCATTAAAATATCTAAATAAATTTTATGAAATGGCCTCTCAATTTTATAATAGATATTTTCAGTGACTTACAGAATTTCACTTTACATTTAATCTTTACTTTAGTAAGCCACTTTATAATTGAGTGGGTATATTTCTAGAGTTTTATAATTTCATGATACTGTAATCACAATATAATTTTAACAAGTTGTTTTTTTCTTTTTAGCACTTTTATATTTATCCCAACATTAAATATCACTCGTAAACTTTAACTTATTTTTCTCCATTTAAAGTTTTTCACCAAGTGTCTTAAGTAAATTTTAAAGATATTTACGACTTTAAACTTATCTATGAAGTTATAAACTGCCTTATCCTTCTTCATGTCACTCAACAAGCTTAAAATGAAAAATATTTTTAACTTTTTGTGTTGTTTTAGGACTTAATAATTGAGAAAGAATGAAAATTTTAGACCAAATTATACTTCTACTCATCACATAATTCTATGTAAACATATGAAAATAATTTAATCCTAATTCTGTAAAGTTTGAAATACTTGGGAATTAATCATCCTAAAGAAAACAAGTAAACAGAATAATGAATGCATACTTTGAACTTTAAAATCTATTAGTAAAGAGCTTATTTTCTCAAGGATTAGACATACTTGCACATTAAATACCCAAATATTAAAATCATTCCACATGCTTTAGTAGAAACTTAAAATTTAAAACTTTTTTACCTGGAAATCTAAACTAAGTAGTCTTTGCTTGGTGCCATTTAAGTCTCCCGCTGAAAATGAAACAAAATCAGAGCTTTCTTTTAAAAACAAAGAACAGACGGGAATGATGAAAAATGTTAGCTGACTTCTTAGTAAAATCTGAAAGAGAAACTGCTTCCCTTGGGGATAATGCCTTTCAGTTCTTTGTGAGGAAAATCAGCCAAAAAAGCAGGGAAAATGGTTACCAAGGGAAATTTCTTTTTTTTAAATCATAAGAAAAGTGGAAAACATCAGTGGGGGTTGGCGGGGAGTGTTTCCTTTGCAGGCTGAAAATGCAGAACAGGAATCACAAAAATGAGCTTAAGAAATCTGTGGTTTTCATAGGCTGTTTACATTAAAAAACAGTCATACCAGCCATCCTGTCACTTAAGCTTTATCAGACTATAGGGATGATATTCGAACCTAAGACTGTGTCTGCAAGCCCTTGTAAATGGGTTACTATACTTAAAGTTTTCATCTTTTCTGTATACCCCATTGTCACACACAGTGTTGTTAACAAAAACTGGTTACATATTAATGCTTTGGGAAATTATGTAAGTTCTAACCACTAAGTAGGTAGTAAAAAGAAATTGTACAAGGGAGCTTTATGACTCCCAATTTCCTGTTACTAGGACAAGTTAGCTGTGGACCTGGGCCACAAATTTCTTCATGTGCCCATAAGTGATTTAGAGACAGGTCAGGATTTGGAGCCCAGCACGGCTGCCTGTGGGGCCTTGATTAAGTTACTTAATGCTTCTGTCTAAAGATTATTCTTCTGTACAATTAGGATAGTATCTATCTTTCAAATTTTTGTGAAAATAAAATAATAAGATAAAGAAACTGAGTAACTCTATACCTGTCATAGACTCACTGATTATTTAAGAACTATTTTAAATTTCTATATTCTACTTCAGAGTTCCAAATTATTTGACAAACAGGAGCTAAATTTTTCTTTTCACCAAATCTTAAAATAACTTGGGTAGACTGATTTAAGATGATGGACTATGAAATTGTATTTGTTTTTAAAAATGTAAGACTGCATGGCAAAATAATAAGTAGTAACTCTTACAAACAAGTAATTTTGAGAAGTTCCTTAAAGACTGAAGACAGACAGGCTGTATCTTAAGGATGACACAATAACCCAGAACATGTGTTTGAGGACAACTCTGTGGGTCTTCCAGATCCATGAGCCTGGGAGCCATGAGGTTTGCTGGGAACCAAATCAGAAGGCCTGGGCAGAGGACCCCAGTCTGCGTGTCTCCATGATATGTTCCAAGTAGTCAACAACTGCCAGCACAGTAGGACCCATGTCTCATCCACTCCGCTCGAGTGACTGGCAGAACAGGGAGCCACCACACTCAGAGCCCAAACTAACTATGAATACAACCTGGCTCCAAGCACAGACTGACAAGCTCCACCTGCATGTTCATAGCTTTTTCTCAAGAGTTTTAAATTCTTAGTCATGAGCCAATAGTTTAGGATTACCAAACATCAGAAATGGGGACACCCCCCACCCCGAATATGCATATGCAAGTTTGAAGATAACTTCAGAGGTTAAAAACTTGATAACATACATGGGAAACTGAATAGTTCTATTAGAAGATAAAGTAAGAAAGACTCCTAAAAATTAGGGCCAAATGTAAAAAGATGAAAAACAGAAGACACCACAACTAGAGAGAGAAAATGAAAAATGTCACAGAACCAAAGGTCAAGGACTTCTACTATGGAAGTGCCCTAGGTGAAACTTGACTGGCATCAAGGTATATAATTTTGTAATTTAGGAGTGCTGGGGACAAAGGAAAGATTCTACATACTTGCAAAGGCAAAAATAAGTCATAGAATCCTGGATTACACAGACTTCACACCACCAATAACAATTCCAGAAACAAGAGGATGGTAGATCAACACTTCTAAAATTCTGAAAGAAATTAGAGATTAAAAGAAAAAGATGATGCATGGAAGCAACGCTAGGAATCTCCCTGTGTAGCTTATCTTTATCTCAAACTAGGAAAAATGCAATGTCTTTCTTATTATCTTTTATGTGTTTTCTTCTACAAAATTGGAGAACAGGCGGGCAGAACAGGTTCTACCCAGAGGTGTGAAGGGTGAGGAGATGGTACAAATAATGTGCACATGTGTATGTAAATGCAAAATGATACCTATTGAAACTATTCTGGGAATCTGAAAGGGGGAATGAAAAAGAGCAGGGGAAGAGATGAATTCAAGTATGATATATTTGATACATTGTAAGAACTTTTGCAAATACTCCAGCGTACCCCCACCCAGCACAACAATAATAAAAAAAAAAACAAAGAAAAAAGAAAAAGATGAGCAGCTCGGCTCACAGATGGGCCAAAGCCATTGAACCAGCAGTTTGTAGAAAAGGAAGTCTCAGTGGTCAATAGCAGAAAATAGTTTTTCAACTTCACTAATAACCTAGAAACACAAATTAAAATAGGCAGTATTTTCAGTATCAGATTGGAAATGTTGATGATAGATTTGGGGAATAGAATCTAATTATCAATATTTTTAAAAAATTATCCAAATGATTGCAACCTACTCAGGCTTGAGGACTACTGCCAATCAAAATTCATAGCCTTATTTGAAATATGCACATTTTTGAGAAGGGGGATGTCTGTGACATGCTGTATTGGCCAGTATGGAGGGCAAACAGAAACTATTGTATTCTTTGTGTGCAGCTTAACTGTCTCTTCCTACATTTTACTTCTGGAAATCCATTATGAAAACACATCATTCTGTGCAAAAGTGTGCCTCCAGAGAAGTACTTAGAAGCACTGTGGCCATGGAATTTAATAAGGTGGTTTGGGTTTTTTTTTTTTTTAAGGAATTAACCCAGTTGTGTATTGATAAAGTACAACAGACTACCATAAAGCTGTTTTAGAGCAACTAAAGCAACCCTGTAGACTGGGCATGCAGCATTGTCCCTACTAAACCAAAAGGAAAAGAGATTTTCAGCTCTGTGCATGCATTATGATCTTGCCTTCTTTTGATATGTATAATTTAACATCTTACTGGAGAGCAAATTGGAAGGAATAAACAAAAGCTTAATAGTAATTATCTCTGGGTGATGGAATTACAGAGGGAATGAGTTCTATATTTTTACAGTGTTTTCAGCTTTTTGTAAAAAGATCAGAAAAAGAATAACTTTTAAACAGAATATAAACAGTCAAAAACAGAAGTAACTCTTAACAGAAAGGAGTAACAATAACTACCATGCTGAGATTGACCAGGTTGGAGAAAGCCAAATTTTGCAATTTCTGAGGTCACTGCTCTAAAACCTTGTGGTTTAATGGATGGTTACATGAGCCCTTTTGCAGAAACTACTTTACCCACACCAGTTCATGGAAAATGCTGGTATTACATTTTTCTCCTATGCCCGTTATTATTGCAGGCATAATTATGTCCTAAAGCTTGGCCCAGACAGTACTCTGCAGTAGTGTGGTATGGGCTCCCAAAAGGACAGGAGCAGAGCAAGCAGCACCAGTGGGTGTCATAGGGCAGTCTCCAGGACATTTTTTTTAATGCCACTTAAGTAAAATCACCATTTCAGTATTCTTTACCTGCTGTCCTAGAGTACCAGTGAGTTGGTTTTTCTTTGAAGGGTACAATTGCTTAGTGTTTGACAACTTGGCAGACACAAATCCCCAGAAAAAGCAAGGTTTTAAGTAGGGCCAGTCTCCAAGAGGGGGTCTTATCTTGCTTCAGGGCTATTTTAGAACTAACCCTCCCTTCCTCACGCTTTACTTCAAATGCCTTTTAAACTAAGTCACACTTGTTTGTTGAACTTACCTTCCCAATGGAATATTTCCATTTAAGTGGAGTGATAATGTAGAAATTGTGCCATGATTCTTCAGCTGTTCTCCTACTGGTGGATATTCAGTTTCTTTCCCTTTCTCTTCCACAAACAGAGTGTCCTTTTTAAGATTTATCCCTGTTTCCGGGTCGCTTTCCAAAGAGTCTAATACATGTACTCCCACAGACATATGTAAATTCCCATTTTCCTGCCACCTGTTTTTTTTCACATTTTTGAATGGGTAACGTACAAGCTGTATAAAATTTATGGTACATGGTTAAATGTTTAGTTTTAAATATATAGAACTAGGATATTGGGTGATCCCAACAACCTTCACATTGAAGTAGCTAGATCACATCCAAAAACCATGTTAAAATGATCAACAAGGTGGGGTGATCATCTTGAATTACTGGGCCCAGACCAAGGACGTAAGCAGTCTTTGTCCTGGGGTACCATAATGTCAACATTACACGAGATCAACAAAAAGTTGTTTTTTAAAAAATCCATCACCTCAAATACTTATCATTTATTCCCCATGGAAGCCACCATTGGACTTGCTGCTTCTGAGTTCAGTTGGTGTTTTTTTATTTTAGATTCCACATATGAGTGAGATCATGTGGTTTCTCTCCCTCCCCACTCCCCTTTTCTTTCTCTCTCTCTCATTCACTCACTCAAACCCAGGATCTCCTGCATGCAAGGCAAATGCCCTACCACTGAGCTATATCCCTAGTCAGGCATTTGTCTTTCTGTGCCTGGTTTACTTCATTTAACATAATGACTTCCAGTTGCATCTATATTGTTGCAAATGACAGGATTGTATCCTTTCTTATGGCTAAATATTATTCCATTATGCATACTTACCACATTTCTTTTTATCTGTTCATCAATTGATAGATCTTAGTTTATTTCCATTTCTTGTTTTTGTGAACATTACTACAATAAACATTGCAATGCAGATATCTCTTTGACATACTTATTTTATTTCCTTGATATATACTCAGTAGTGGGATTGCTAGATCAAATGGTAGTTTTATTTTTAATTCTTTGGGGATCTTCCATATTAGTTTCCATAATGACTGTATTAGCTTACATTCCTATCAACAGTGTGCAAGGGTCCCTCTTTGTCCACATCCTTGCTAGTACATGTTATCTTTGTCTTTGTAAAGTAGCTATTCTAATAGATGTGATGCAATATTTCACT